GAGAGAGGTGTCAAAACATACGTTATTCAGAAAAGCGTATTTTCGGTACGATAGCCACAATAAAAAAAGGGTGTTTTGACAAACACACGCAGAGTCTGTAGAAAAGCGTCTTGTTACCGGGATTCAACAGTCGAGAAATACTTTATTTTCCATTTTCTAAGATATGTCTGTATTTCTTGAGAGTGTGTTTATAGTAGAAGTAGGAATTATATAATATAATAATAATAATAGTTGGATTAAGGTAATGATTTTTAATATTGAGGTTAAGAATTATAGGAATTAATACAGCGAAAAATATAACATCGTTTTTCGCATGTAAAAAATTAAACAAAGATGTCCACCTGCAAAGGTACTATAGGCCTATATTATTTGGGTATCGTATCTCTGATTTTATTGATGTCAAGATCGAACTATTACATTGCTCAGGTTTTCCCCCAGTCTGTAATATCCCATTAATATATATCTTCTGTAGAATTCCTATATCTTTAACGCCCGATTTCATAATCAATTTAAAGTAAACTTTAAAGTAAAGTTCACTTTAAAGTATAAATTTCAGTTTCATAATACTGTAACCTTACTTTAAAGTTCACTTTAAGTTAAATGGTAGAAATCTGTCAATTAACTCCGTAAAGTCCACTTTAACTAAACTAATAGACAGTTTAACCTCAAAATTTTTATATCGTCTTGCTACAATTTGTTTACATTCTTATTTTTTTTTTCAAATTTAAAATGAATTTTTCTACAAGTTCAGATTCTTCTGAAGATGAATTTATGTATGTCCGCCGCCCTAAAGTTTATAGGGAAAGAATAAATTATATAAACCAATATGATGATGTAAGTTTCTATGAAAGATTTAGACTGACAAAAGAAACAGTTATGTCCTTACTGGAACAAATCGAACATTTAATAAAACTTCTTCTTTTCGCTGCAGACATAATTATCAACTAACTTTACAAACAATTAACAACTAACTTTTAATACCTAACTTTACAAACAATTAACAACTAACTTTATAAACAATTAACAACTAACTTTATAAACAAATAACAACTAACTTTAACTTTACAAACAATTAAAAACTTTTATAAACAATTTAAGATACAAAAGATATACGAGGTTATTTAGATTTCGACAAAAACCCGGCAAAATTGACACAAACACGATACCAACCTACCAAATTAAACACTAAAGTTGACTTTTACTAATGAAAAGAGCAGTACGTATTATGAAACCGGGTGCGACACTAAAGTGCACTTTAGTGTAAAGTGAACATTAGTTAAAGTGTACTTTAGGTTGTCATTATGAAATCGGGCGTTAGTGTCCCACCACCGACTGCCAACGATGATTGGTTGGATTAAAAACTTGAATATGAAGCTTAAAGTGTAGCTAATTCTAATAAAGTAACTAGTTTATAGCTCTGACGTATGATAAAAAATAAAATATTAATTTGTTGGAGGGTGTTACCTAATTTTTATGTAAATGGGTGTATCTTCTTCTCATGACGCCGTCTCCTTTCGAAGGTTGGCGATCCCAATGACAATTGTGGTTTTGGAAACTGCTGCGCGAAAGATTTTTCTTATATATATATATATATATATATATATATATAAGAAATACTGGATATTATTGACTGTCGATATAAACAAATAACACCGTTTATTAGGGTTACTGCAACCCTAATAAACGGTGTTATTTGTATATATATATATATATATATATATATATATATATATATATATATATATACATCTCAAAGGCATCTATTCTTTTTTCTATTTCAGAGTCCATTGTCCAACTTTCACAGCCATACAGTAAGAGAGAAAAAACGTAACATCTAATAATTCGGACTCTAAGCTACAGACTAAGGTCTGATCTTGTAAAAAATGTTTTCATGCTCATGAATGTTTTCCTTGCTTGCTCGATTCTTGATAGTATTTCTTTTTTGGATTACACTGACTATTGATATTTGCTCCCAAATATTTTATGGAATTTACCTGTTCTATCATTTGACCCTTGGCATACACATGTACGTTTATTGGTGTCTTTGAAAATACTAAAGTTTTCGTTTTGGAAACTTTTAGATGTAAGCCGAACATTTCGCTGTGGTGAACTACCGCATTTATTACATTTTGTAGTTCTTGTGCGTTGCTTGCTATTAAGACAGTATCATCAGCATATCTGATGTTGTTTATGCTGATTCCGTTGATCTTAACTCCGCCTTGGACCTGATCTAATGCTTCTCTGAATATAGACTCCGAATATAAATTAAACAGAAGGGGTGATAAGACGCAACCCTGTCTCACTCCTCGTCGGATTTGTATATCTTCGGATGTTGTGTGTTCTATTTCAATTGTTGCCGTTTGGTGTCAGTATAGTTCTGAGATAATTCGCAAGTTTTGTTCGTCAACTCCAGTTGTTCGCAGAATTTCGATCATCTTTTGATGGTTAACACAGTCAAATGTTTTTCGATAGTCAATAAAACATGCATATACATCTACATTCATATCTCTGCATCGTTGCGTTAACACATTTAAAGCAAACAGAGCCTCTCGTGTTCCCAATCCGTTTCGAAATCCGAATTGAGTGTCACTCATCTGAAACTCGCACTTATTGTAAATTCGTCTATGGATAATTCTGAGAAAAGTTTTAAGGACATGAGACATCAAGCTTAATATTCGATAATCATCGCATTTTGAGGAATTCGATCTTTTTGGTATTGCTACGAATGTTAATTTTAGCCAGTCTGTTGGTATTTTACCTGTGTCATATATCTTATTGAATAGTGCTGATATTAAGTCTGGGCTTTTACTTTCGTTATCTGCAATTAGTTTTAGTATTTCGACATTGATATTGTCTGGACCGGTGGCTTTTCCATCTTTCTGAGATTTTACTGCGTGAATCACTTCTTCTTTGGTTATTTCTGGGCCTTTTTCATTTATTCGATTATCTGTGGATGGTGGAGAACAAGGTCTATCGTCATCAAAAAGAGTTTGTATGTATACTTTCCATCTTGTTTGTTTGTCTTCTGTACCCATAATTATTTCGTTATTTTCATTTTTTAATATTGTTGCTTGTCTATTTTTGTGTCTACCTGTCATTTCTTTTACTTTTCTGTGAATATTAAAGGTGGCGTATTTTTCTTGAAGTTGTTCGATTTCTAGGCATTTTGTTGACATTCAGTTTTCTTTCGCCTCCCTGCATTTTTTTCTAATGATTTTATTGATTCGCTTGTATTCTATTGGGCTTGTTTTATGTTTTCGTCCTACGTCCATGAGGTTCATGATCTCTTGCGTTATCCATTCTTGTTTTTTGTTGTGTTTGATACTGATTGCTTTTTTCTGTTCAGGGTTTTTCAGTTGCGAGATGTGTATTTTTCTTGTCACTGTTTTCTTTTTTACTTTGAGAAATCTTTTTAATTTAAAATCCATTATAACTGGATGGTGATCGCTATGTATATCAGCTCCAGGTATATTTTCGTAGGTTGTATGTACTTCTTAAATGTGTTATTGAGCAAAATGAAGTCTATTTGACTTCTAACAATTTTGTCTTTTCTGTCTGCAGGTGATTTCCATGTGTATAGCCTTCTAGGATGTTGTTTGAAGAAGGTATTGGCTATTAACAGATTGTTTTCTACGCAGAATTGTACAAGTCTATCTCCTCTATTATTTCTGATACCTAGACCATATGCTCCTATGTGATCTCCTTCATCACCACGTCCAACTTTAGCGTTAAAGTCACCCATGATCATCGTTATTTCACCTCTTTTTATCAGTCGCATTATTTCATCTATGTTGTTATAAAATTTTTCGATTTCTTCGTCTGACTTGTCACTTGTTGGAGCATAGACCTGAACAATATTTAGTTTTCTGTGAGTTGTTTGTAATTTCAACATAGCTACTCTATCATTTAGAGGGATGAAGTCTGTGACTGATTCAGCAATTTTGTTCGACACTAATATAGCAGTTCCATATTTATGTTCTGGGTCAGTTCCACCTGAATAATATATTTATCCATGTTTCGTTTTCTGTACTCCTGAACCAGGCCATCTTACTTCACTCATCCCCAAGATGTCTATTTTCAGTCTTATCATCTCGACTTCAGTGTTTGCCAGTTTCCCGGACATACATAAGCTGCGTACGTTCCAGGTGGCAATGCGTACTATTCGGTCGTATATTTGTATTCTCTGTCCACTTTCTTGGGTAGTTGACGGGTGTATGCTTGTGTTTTTTATATTTAAATCATGTGTATGTCATACGACAAAAAAATAAACATGCCAATTATCAATGGACCACAGGAGTGATGACGTTGATTTGATTGACATCTGTCAGTTTCACTTTCCAAACAAACCTTGTTTAGTGTGGATAATTTGTATTTTTCGTTATTTTTTTCATTTATTTTATAGAATCTTTCCGCTTTTTGCAATATTTAAGTATTCTTATAGTTACTACAACAATTTTACAAGGTTGTGTAAATAATAAAGCACATTGTTTTATGCTAATATGAATTAAATGCGAATATCGATAAAGTAAGGTTAAAGTTTCTTTAATTAAACTTTTAAACCATATTTTATAGAAATAGAACTCTGAATTATGATGATATTATCGTAAAAACACTATACTTACAAGAAAAAGCAGTAGAGGAAGCAAAATTTTAACTTTATAGGAATTAAAAAGTCTTGAGATTTGACATTTCAACGTTTGTTTGGAAAGTAATAATGACAATGTGACAGTCGTGACGTCACACTCCTGCGGTCCATTTACTCAAAATATTAAAAAACAATTTCAATCATTTTACTCAAAATATTAAAACACAAGTAAGGGGAAATGAGAATAAGCTGTAAATATTTTAGAAGTAAGATACAGCAGGGCGAAAATTAGAATTTTCAGATTTCAAATCCGATTATTTTCAAAGATAAGTCTAATATAAGGTCTATATGAAGCACTTTGTATATTAGTTTTAACCTAATCTAATAACTTGTCAATGTCAAATATATTCTACATGAAATTTTGTCATTATTAGTAAAAATTTTCGTAACATGGAATTGGAAGAGCAGTTGGATGAGGACTTTTTGTTTTATTTAAATTTTACCAATACATTCTTAAGAAGAATTCAAAATGAAGAACTATCAAAAAGAGCAAAGGTATTTTTTATTTTATTTCATGTATATTTCGTTTCCTTCGGGTGAGTTCTGAGTGCGCAGTGATAAAATTCAAAACGTGTGGAAAGCTTCATCCTCTTTATATTCACAGAGCAGTTAGTTCCATATAATTTCTAGTAATGTTACGATATAAATATGAAAAATGTGCTTAATGGACAAGTTATATGACACAATCTTTAATAAAATGAAGTAAAACATGGACAAATGTTAATAGATTTAATGAAAGTGCAGCAATGTATTGTTTTCTGTCTAATTACTTGCTACATGAACTGAGATGCTCAATGTTATTCAAAAAAATTGACTTTCTTCTTGGAAGCTTATTTTTTTTAACATATATTCAGCAATTTATTAGTTATAAACATTCTGATCCTTCTTATTGATTCTGCTTCTTACTTTCCGTATCCGGAACACCAACAGCTTTAAATTTTGTGTTTCCTATAGTTAGCCATATAGATGGCCCTGTCATTCGCTAAGAATAGGTCTTCTTCTGTGCAGGTCTCTCTAATCTCTTTGCATGGTATCATCCTCCTGGTATCCCCATTTCTTCAGGCTACTAGCACAACGTGAAACGCCAGTTCTTGACGCCAAATTGTGTCCAGCGGCCATTTTCTCTGAGGGAGCAAAATGTGTTGTAGCTGACTCTCACCATAGGTGTATTAGGCGCGTCTTTGGCCCTTCGGGAAGGGATTGTGATTTTTTCATGAAGCTTTTACGAAATCTTAATCTACTTGGCTGAACTTGGTGGTCATACAAGGTGTCTTCGATCCGTCTCCTGCTTCTTTCTTTCTATTTCTGATGTGACCTGCCTTCTGATAGCAGGTAGAGGCTGGAGCGATTCCAACTATAGGGAAGACCTCTTCGATAGGTGTCAGTTTCAGGCAACCAGATATTATACGAACCGTTTCATTTTTTCCACACTGGTGCTCCAAATTTCTGGCGCTTACTTTTTTCTTTATATCTTGACAGTAATATTGATAAGACAGAGTTCTATAGAAGTACGCCGAGGTATTTTGGCGTCTCATTGTGTTCCAGAATCTTACCACGCCATTCCACCTCCAGTGTCCTTCGGGCATACTTGTTTCTAAGGTGGAAAGCACACACCTGGGTGTTTGTAGGATTGGGTTTCAGATGATTTTCGTCATATATAGTGCTAAGTTTCTAGGGAATCTTTCAGGTTTACTTCGACTTCATTGAAGGTACTTTCCTGAGCTTCCACAGCTATATCATCCGCGTAAATAAACCATCTTATTTATTGGTTTTTGAGTTGGTCGTTGGTGTAAATGTTGTATAGCAATGGCGCGAGGACACTTCCCTGTGGGAGCCCATTTTTTTGATCCCTCCACCGACTGTTCACGGACTGAAGTGTTACGCAGAAGCGTCTATTTTGGAGAAGAAATTTGATTAACCTTATTAGTCGGAAATCCCTTGTAACTTCGTAGAGTTTTACCAGCTGCCGTTGATGGTTAACTATGTCATAGCGTAGTCAGGTCTATGAACGCTACTCCTGTTATTTCTTTCCGTTCAAACCCATCCTCAATATGTTGGGTGAGATTAAAAGTTTGACTGCAGCAGCATTTTCCGGGTCTAAATCCTGCTTGTTTATTAATAATTTTAGTGTTCACACACTAAAATTCAGCGCTCCGGTTCACAGATTCAGCGCTCCACAGATTCTGCGATCCGGTTCAGTATCATTCTTTCGAACGCCTTGAAAAGGTGACACAGAAGTGAAACAGGTCTAAAACTCTTTTGTATCCGCCGGATCCTTTCCTGGTTTTAAGAGGGCCACCACTCTAGCTTTCCTTCAGATTTTGGGGATTTGGAATGTACGGATGCAACAGTTCATCATCATTTTTACGAGCCACGAGGTTTTTGGTACAAAGTGCTTTATTTTCACTGTTCGTATATCTTCTAGGCCAGCCGCTTTATAATCATTCATTTTGTGGATCGCAACTCTCATCTCCTCCAGACAAAAGGAGATACCTAGAACATCCTCTTCTTCGTCGACATTTCGTTGTACTCTCACTTTGTTCTTCCTTGATGTCGTTACACGTCGTTATCGTATGAATCAGAGCACGGTTCTAGCTGAGAAACTTCTTGATCTAATGCTTCAGCGAATTTTTCCCCATTTTGCTTTAGTAAAATTGAACCTTCTCTTGAAATGAACGTATCTGATTTTTGTATTTTATTGTAAAAATTATTGCCTGTGCTGTGTTTTGGAAAGGCGCTCCAACAATTTTTGCCACCTGGTCTCCAATCCTGTCGCTGACCAATATATTGTCTGGATTTTAACCTCTGCGCCATCTTCTGCTGTTGAATGACGCGGGCTGTTTTGGATCATGAATAAGTTTGAGGTTCATGTTTTCAGCACATTTGCTAGTTCTCGGCCATGGGAGTCTGTTTTGTTATACCCCGATGCGATACTATGACAGTTAAAGTCATACAGAATGAATTTTATTGTCTGTGGTTGAAAGTTATCCGATTTCTCAAAAACAAAGTCAACGTTTGGTGGTTTGTAGATGGCCGTTACCATACAAGACTTTAGTTCCACTGCAAGAATCTCAATGTCATCTCGATATGTTAAAGATGTGGAAACTATGTCGGTATCGACACCGTATACTCTGCACATATTAGACAGTAGATCTTCTTTATTTGCTGATAGTCCTTCAATATTAATTGAAGTTGTCATCAAAAATGGCCTTGATAGAGATCGTTTTGGTTGAGTTTGCACCTGTGTTGGTGAATCGCAATCTATGTGGAGGCTCCTTGCATGTCGCCCAACATTCTGATAATAAGCGTCTTTGAGATTCAAAATAAAAATTGACTTTAGAGAGATGAGTTCAATGACTGGACCTCTGGCATAGAACAAGACATTTCGATAATATGCATACACTTCACATTTACAAACAGTACATCTATTATACCTAAAATATATACACAATTACGATGAAATATAATACCTACTTATTTATAAATGTTATAGAGCGTAACACTTTGGATTTAAATCTTTCCCTTATGGCTAAGTTGGATTTTAATGCTGTCCACCATAGTTGGATCCCAGAAGTCCAGACTGGTTTGAATACTGTATTGTATTGTATACCAACTTCGATGTTCTGCCCAGTATCCAATAATGTTTAAGAAATTTTAAGTTTAACTGTTGGCGCTTTTCCATATATGGGTTCTCCATATCCATGTCTCCAAGTTTTGTCTAGGTGTATTCCAAGATATTTAACGCTTTCATTTTGTGCAATTGGTTTGGTATTTATTTCTATTCTAGGCGATATTTTGCGACATTTTGTAAAGATGATATGTTGTGATTTAGATCCATTGATATTTATGCGTTATTTCTTTGTCCACTTTTCAACAGGATTATTATCTGTGACTAACATGGTGTCGTCTGCGAGTCTTATCATATGTTTCTGAATATTAAGCATGATACTATGAACTTCTAAAGATAAACCCACGCGGAAGCGATCAGTCTATCTCTTTTGCACGTGTGACGTAACTTGGCTACAAATATCACCAGAAATGTTCTGTTTTGCATGGAGTTTTGTCAGATTTAGTATTGTTTTATCGTTTATCTAGTAAATTGACAAATAAATGTGTGCACTTTTAGATAAAATATATTTCAGACTATTAAATTAAAGGTAAACTTTTATCACCAAGTGACGTCATGCGTATCGACGTACAAAATTCGATTGCGAAGTGGTTTTATCTTGGAAGTCATAGTATCAAAATATTAAGTATAATATAGAACCCAAAACACTACCTTGAGGGACTCCAGATCGGATACGGTAGATTTTTAATATTTCTGATTCATACTTTACACGGTAGTATCTTCCTTCTAAATATGATTTTAGTAAAGTAAACATTCATTCTGGAACGTTCATTTTTATTTTGAAAAGCAACCTTTCATGCCGTACTAAATCAAAAACCTGACATGAAGAAAAAGTGCAGAGCAGTATTTTTTCCTTGAAAGTTTTATTCTCAATACCAAAGACTTTATGTACTTGTTTTATTGTTGAATGCTACTCTCTGAAACCAAACTGATAATCCAGGAAAAGATTATCATAAAAAATCATAAATGTGTTGCTTGTGTGAGTCCATTTCAAATAGGTAAAGAAATAATAAATAGTACTTACTCACAATCAATTTAATATTTAACTATCAGACGACCGGTTTCGCTTTCTACAATATGCAAAGCATCTTCAGGTCTAGATACAAATTTAAACAAATGCTGAAATAATAAAAATAATGATAATAATTTGAGATATGTGTGAGATTGTTTGTTAAATGTAAGTGATGTAATATACTATTGTGTTACTATTGTATTATAAATGGAGTACCGGCATGTAAGTAATGTTTATTTTATTTATTTATTTGCTCATTTATTATTTATTGCAATCGAAGAGACTATTTTTTTAACAATTTTGAGGCCTTACCTTGTCTGTTTAAACTTTTTAAAAAATTTTTATGCCTTTTATTCAACTTACTCATTTAAATAAAACCACAGACATGTGGTATTGGCATAGTTATTGTAATTTACAACACCTACTTTATTTATCGTTATTAGACAACACCCTAATATGGGTTTTTATTATTTCAGCATTTGTTTAACTTTGTATCGAGACCTGAGGATGCTTTGCATATTGTAGAAAGCGAAACCGGTCGTCTGATAGTTAAATTAAATTGATTGTGAGTAAGTCTTATTTATTATTTCTTTCGATTATTATAAAATATTATCTTTGTAAGTCTTGCCACTATTGGCTTCTTAAATAAATGATCAACTACTGGTAAGAGACTAATAGGACGATGAGAGGTATATTTGTGAGGCGGTTTACCAGATTTATTTTGATGAATCATTATTATATCAGCAATTTTCCACTGAGGGTACAATTTTAAGCCTTAGTAGCTTATGCCACAACTTTTCTCAGCCACCAAAGTATCATGATTCGATATCTGGTTACACCAAAGTATATTTTTTTTTTGATAGTATTTTAACCTCTACATAAACCATAGTTTTTTACTTTACTATTAAAAAAATTTAATAATATTTTAGGTTTGGCTGCAAAAATTAATCGGCGAACCATGCGAAGGCGTACAGAAAAAGAGATGCAGAAATATATATTTATCCAACCTTTTGGTTGGAATGCAAAATGGGCTTCTAGAAAAACCGTTTATGGCACCCGCAAGAGATACGGATATATTAAACGCCCATGAAGTGTTTGGACCTATTCCGGATACTGTTGAAGTAGGTTATCGTAAAATAACTGGTGATCTGACAAGTAACCTCCTTTGAAATGAAAAGCATTTTTTGAAAAATTCTTTTATTTAATTCGATATAGCGAATATCGAATTAAATGTTAATAAATATTATTGAGCTTTTAGCTCAATATAACGATTCTAGCAATTTTACAACTTCTTTATGCCGCTCAAATAATACAATTCTCGAAGCTCTGCAAAATAGGCACTGATTTCGTCAATTATACCTTTTGAGCTTAATTTGTTATCTACCTACACATTTCTTTATATTATTTTTAAACATTTAATAATCGGATGGGGCCAAATCTGAAAAAAAACTGGATAAGAAAGCAATTCAAAGCCCAATTAATAAATTTTTGTAATCGTCATACTGCGCTTACGCGCCGTTACATTGTTTTGTAAAAACAAAACTTTTTTGTTCTGCACATGGACCTGTTTCTGAATGTATTCTAGCTTCAATTTGTCCAATCATGTAAAATAATATTGGCTGTTGATAGTTTTTCCTTTTTTATAAGTCAGAGTCAATTAAAATTATACCTTTTCAATTCCAACTTGCCATAACCTTTTCAACCCAATAAACCACTCTTGAGCGCTTCGAAGTACTTTTGCGTATTCGTGTCCACTGCCGTGCCTTTATTCTGTCCTTTGGTGTGTAGTAGTGAATCCAGCATTCATCAATGTTTACCAATACAAAGACGAGTTGTGCTTTATAAGGTCCAAACATTGTTGCAAACATGACAAATATCGGCAGGATAATTTTTTCTTATTGAAAAATTTGTTTAAAAATTTGACTACTGTTCTGTTTACTACCTTTTGAGGTCTCTGACAATTCACGCACTTTCACTTTACGACTAGCTAAAACCATTTCATGAACTTTTTTGACATGTCCCGGTGTAAATAGTATTTAGTTCATCTAATGTAGATATAGGGCCACTACAAAATTCACGGAACCAAAATTTGACAATTTAGTCTGAAGAAGCATTGGTCCATAATCTTTATCCAGCATTTCTTTTAATTACTATTAAACTGGGAATAAGCCACAATTAAAAATAAAAATACGTTTATTGACGTTTCAATTTCCACTTCGGAAATCGTTCTCAAAATACAAACAGTAAATTAAACAAATTTTGTTTTTTGTTACATAGTGAAAAATTCTTCTAATAATTTAATTTTATCTGACTCATTTATATTGACAATTCAGACATACATTATGCATTTTAAAGTAGACGACTTTAAAATGATATTGCCAATATTGTTGAGTTGCGTTCCTGGGACGACTTTACTTATAAGATAATTCATTCGATTACATGAAATCAACTTTAACTTGAGAATATCCGTCAGAAAAAAATCATAGCATGTAATTCGTCTTTAAAAGACAAACACATGACATGATGACAGTAAAATTCTCCTGTTAGTGATTCCATAGTAAATTATGAGGGAAAAACCAGGAAAAAACCTCATAATACTATCCCGACATTGTAAGTATTTGTTCGTGAATTAAGTTTACCTTCAACAAATATCAAAATTCTGATTTTATATGTTACGTTATTTAAAAAAACATAAATGATGTATCCTCTATATGTTAATGACTTACTAATACTGGTATTTTTTTATTAATAACTTCCTCTTTCAATATTGGTAACCAGATCCTACTACATTCTGCCGAGGAATTTGCGACACAATTGGCCTCATTTAGCATAATTAGAGCCGCTTCTTTGATTTTTTCTTTTTTTACCATCCGTTTCTTTTAGGACTACATTTGAATTATTCCATTGAACCCTATGTTCATTATCCCATGCGTGTTTACAGATTGAGATCTATCAAATTCTTTATTTTTAACATAAGATTGATGTTCACTTATTCTAACATTTAATGACCTTGATGATTCACCTAAATAAAACTGATCATTGAACAGCATGAATGAACAGCATTCACAAGGTATTTTATAAATGCAATTCTTTGTCCTTTCTTGTTCATTGTTAGGTTTGGTTTTGGACAAAATAGATCTCAACGTGTTTGTAGTTTTGAATGTTGTTGAAATGTTGAATTTATTTCCTATCCTTTTTTTTTTTCTGATAGTCCTTTTATGTACGGTATTGTTATTTTCCTCATATTATTCCTTGTGTATGCTGTAGGATCTCGTTCTAAGTTGTTCTGTTCTATTCGATCGATTGTTGAAAATTCCTTATTTATAAACGATAAAGGATAATCATTTTTTAATAAAACAGATGTTAACAAATGTGTCTCCTCCAAGAACGAATTTTCATTAGAACAAGTAATTTTGGCTCTATCGTATAAGATTTAATTATTCCCTTTTTTACATTAATATTGTGATTTGATTTGAAATTTAAATATCTATTGGTGTGTGTTGGTTTTCTATACACCTGAGTGTCATATCCAGTATCGTTCTTAGAGATTAAAACATCCAGGAAAGGTAGCGTGTTATTATATTCCTTTTCCATGGTAAATGTTATTGTCTCTTCTTTATCGTTTATATCATTTAGGAATGTGTCCAACAATTGTGTCGCAAATTCCTCGGCAGAATGTAGTAGGGTCTGGTTACCAATATTGAAAGAGGAAGTTATTAATAAAAAAATACCAGTATTAGTAAGTCAGTAACATATAGAGGATACATCATTTATGTTTTTTAAATAACGTAACATATAAAATCAGAATTTTGATGTGTTTGTTGAAGGTAAACTTAATTGACGAACAAATACTTACAATGTCGGGATAGTATTATGAGGTTTTTTCCTGGTTTTCCCTCATAATTTACTATGGAATCACTAACAGGAGAATTTTACTGTCATCATGTCATGTGTTTGTCTTTTAAAGACGAATTACATGCTATGATTTTTTTTCTGACGGATATTCTCAAGTTAAAGTTGATTTCATGTAATCGAATGAACTATCTTATAAATAAAGTCGTCCCAGGAACGCAACTCAACAATATTGGCAATATCATTTTAAAGTCGTCTACTTAAAAATGCATAATGTATGTCTGAATTGTCAATATAAATGAGTCAGATAAAATTAAATTATTAGAAGAATTTTTCACTATGTAACAAAAACAAAATTTGTTTAATTTACTGTTTGTATTTTGAGAACGATTTCCGAAGTGGAAATTGAAACGTCAATAAACGTATTTTTATCTTTAATTGTGCTTATTCCCAGTTTAATAGTAATTAATTTACAATGCCACAAGAAAATAGCTTCAGAACAGCATTTCTTTTGTTTCGTTCGCGTTTTATTTCTCAAATATTAATATTTAATACGAGATCGAAAATTGTTTTTCTTCATATGATTCATTTTTATAAACACGCCAAATTTATGCAGCTGTCATAAATGTAATAATGGCTACATTGCGCTAAAATTTGATATATAGGTATTCGTAAAACAGATTAAAACTTTTTTAGAACTAATGTTTTTTTTTTTGAGATAGCAACGTCCTTATTGGCAAAGGAGGTTACTCATCGGACTAACAAAATAAGCACTACATACCGTGTAGATTTTAGGCTTTTGGTTGCTTTACTACCCTGCATATTCTGCTTTTCCTCGATTTTCGATATGATTTTCTCCTTTTCGGTCAACGATTTCCTCTTACATCATTCTTTATTTTTCTTGGTATCATTTATTTGCAATCCTATCAAAATCGTATCATTTATTCGTAATTGACTCTCTATCGCCTGTTTCTCAATATTTTGAAATATTTTCAGTTTTTCTTTTGATCTTTCTCACAGAAACTGTCTTTTGTTGTTTTTCCTCCTGTCAATCCATCTTGGCATTTTCCTATCACGTTCTTGAAAACAATCTCTAGCCTATTTCTTAAGATACAATTTAGTACAATCGTTATGGCGTTAGAAGTGACAGTAAAGGAGGTAAGGACAAGGCCTCTCAGATCGTTAATTAACGAATTTCTCGCCAGAAGAACGGAGGCGGAATTGGAACCTGGAATATCCGGAGCATGTTTCAGCCTGGTAAGATGCACGATATTATTTAATAAATGAACAGCTTAAATATTGTGTATTGAGTATCAGTACAACCAGGTGGTCCAACTCAGGTTGTTTCTCAACGGATGAAGCCACAATATATTATTCCGGTAGCAAGGACAACCAACACAGATACGACGTGGCAGGAATAGTTAATAAAATGTCTAGTAGACCAGTCGAAGGCGTTTTCTTATCTCAGAAAGAGTAATGGTATTAAAGTTAGTAATATCTCACGCTAAATTGAACTGAATGCCTACGAAGAAAACTAGAGAAATCATGATCGTCCTAGGTGATCTCAATATAAAGACTGGAAAGGGACACAGTGGAAAGTGTGTAAAAAGTTATGGTTTGGGAAGTCACAACTTGGGAGGGATCATCTATTACAAGTTTCCAAGAGCAGAACTTGATTATTACAAATACTTTCTGAAGTTATCAAACAGGCGACTGTATACATAGCGATTGCAAGCAGATACATCGGAGAAAGTAGTTAGAAACCAGATTACCACTTTAATTTACCTAGTCTATCTGGTTTCTAACTACTTTCTCGATAAACTATATGTATAAGATGAATCAATCAATCATTTTGGCTTTACAACCCTGTGTGGGTCCTAGCCTTCCCAAGAATACTCTTCCAGTCGTCCCTATCCATCGCTTTCTTCCGCAAAGCACGTATTTCCATATTTCTCATATCTTGGTCTATGTTATCTAGGAATATTGTTCTGGGTCTTCCTCTTCTTCTTTGACCAATAGTTCTATCGAAGAGCGTTTTTCTAGCTGGGTCGGTTTGCTCCCTCCCCGCATTACATGGCCTATCCACCTCAGACGTCCTATCTTAATGTGTTTTACGATATCTGGTTCCTGGTATATTCTATAGAGTTTGAAGTTGTATCGTCTTCTCCAGACACCATTTTCATTTACAAAAACCACAAGGAAAACAATTCCTGTAGCTGGCTGTATACCACGTATCACAAAAAAAGGGTTAATCTTTGTAAGTGGGTATATTTATTTAAAAACCCTTAAAAGGGCTACATCAAAAAAACAAACGTTTTCGGACTAAACAGTCCATCATCAGGTTTAAAATCTGCCTAAAATAAGTACAAACCATTTAGTTAAAACAAACGTGATTATGAAATTCTGACTATGGTTAAAAAGCAAAATGGCTATACTTACTAGGTTAAAATGCCTGAGCCACCAAAATACATGGGTAAAAAACCCTTTAAATTACTTATAGTTATCAAAGATTATACATCTTGTTATGTACATACATTGTAAAAAGTTTTGAGTTCCAGAGCCGGGGAGAAAACCTCAACGCACGGACAACAGCTGGAAACTGATTTACAATATACCTATGAAAGGTGTCATAAACAAAAATGTCAATGTAACATAGAACTATAGAGTAATATAGGTAGAACCTGTAGATCACTAACTTCCCGTTCCTTAGAAACACACTAAAAAAGAGAACACTTCACACTTTCCCAACATCTTGCACAACATAAACATACCCTCAACATCCCAGAAGACGTCTCTTTGTTACATAACATCCCGCAAAAATTTTTTCTAAAATTAGATCTATATGAAGACTTGGAAATAGTCAAGGAAAAGCAAAGTAGCCACAATTGCGTCAATCGTCATGTATCGTTCAACCGGGACTTTCAACCCTTACATCGACAACTCTTCTCATAGTCCACGCTTCACAATTGCCTTACTTTATTTGCCAATCTATCCTATACAAACTTCTACACCATTAATCCTATACAATATTTGTGTTTCTTTAAACAATCTTCCTCTACAATATTGCCACACCTCACCTCAACAACATTTTCGACCCCATTGTTAACTTCAGAACCATCCATATCTATCGTAACAAAATATTTCAACAATTTTCTCCACTATTCATTTCTACATCACATTCCTATCCAATTCTTTTCTCTTTCATTATTTCTTGGTCAACTCATTTATCAAACATGTACTCAATATTTTTAACTATTTATTCTCTTAAACATTATCTAACATTTTATCAAAATTCATATTATTTGTGCTTCTTCAAACAACCAATCTCTAAACTTTTTACACTCCTTCCTTCATCACTTTTCGACCCTAGTACTTCGTATTAGTTTATAACCACCCACATCTGTCATACCATAATATTTTACCATTTTCTTTAGTCTTCAAATCTACATCACATTCCTATCCTTTCTTTTCTTTCATTATTTCTTGGTCAATTCATATATTTAATATGTTCTCAATAGTTTTAAAGTCAGTAATCATTCAAACATCATCTAACTGTTTTTCAAATTTCATATAATTTTCCCCTCTTAAAAAAAATCCTATTCCAACGTTGCTCACCTTCTTTTGATCAACAACTAAATAGCACATTCATATTTCAAATTTTAGATTTTTACAAACCGAATCTATTACTACTAAAATACATTTTGTTCAGGGTGCTAGATGCTTCAAGCATAAAGGACCCCTATTATCTCTAATTGTTGATTAACTCCTTTTCTCCTTTAACCATCCCCTCCTTCTTCAGTCTTTTTCTCTATTTCTCATCAAGTCTCTGGAGAACTCAGCCTCTTCAATTTTAAATTAATCACATAGTTATAACTCTGATTTCTTCAGCCTGTAGATTTTCAATTTACCAAACTTGTTTTCATTAATTTCTCACCATACTAACATTCTTAAAAAAGTCATTTAAATACAAGGTCTTATATTAGCTTTAAATATTTACTATTTAAAATTTTTACCTGTCCTAGATGTCATAAACATAAAAGGATAATTTTCATATATATAAGCTATTCTAACACAAAATACACTTTTAGACCATACTCCATACGACAAACAGCAACATAGGTTGCCTAATACACAGGTCATCCTCTCAAACATGACTTTAACACCATTGGTGATTTCACATCGATTATAACCCAAATTTTAAATCCCAACACCAATATTGCTGTTATTATTTTTAAAATCATCAAAATAATTTTTTGAATCTTTTGGCTGTAGTAATACTAGGTATAACTAATATAGTTCTATGTTACATTGACATTTTTGTTTATGACACCTTTCATAGGTATATTGTGAATCAGTTTCCAGCTGTTCTCCGTGCGTTGAGGTTTTCTCCCCGGCTCTGGAACTCAAAACTTTTTACAATGTATGTTACCTGAAGTCATATCTAATTTAATAATGAACATCACAGTTTTTTAACAACAAGATGTATAATCTTTGATAACTATAAGTAATTTAAAGGGTTTTTACCCATGTATTTTGGTGGCTCAGGCATTTTAACCTAGTAAGTATAGCCATTTTGCTCTTTTAACCATAGTCAAAATTTCATAATCACGTTTGTTTTAACTAAATGGTTTGTACTTATTTTAGGCAGATTTTAAACCTGATGATGGACTGTTTAGTCCGAAAACGTTTGTTGTTTTTTTGATGTAGCCCTTTTAAGGGTTTTTAAATATATATCCACTTACAAAGATTAACCTCTTTTTTTTTATTTTCATTTACCGCTCCGTAGATTCGTCTCAGTATTTTTCTTTCGAAACATCCTAACATGTTTTCATTGCTTTTTGTTAAAGTCCAGGTTTCTGAACCATATGTTAGAACTGGGCGTATTATTGTTTTGTAGAGTTTTACTTTTGTATTTCTTGATATAACTGTAGATTTAAAAAGGAGATTAAGCCCAAAATAGCGTCTATTAGCCGTGCAAATTCTGCAGTTTATCTCTGCGGTAGTGTCATTTTCAGTATTGACAAGCATTCCCAGGTATACAAATTCGTTAACTGTATAAGATGAAAGGCAACCGTATATACATATTTCTGACTATTGGTCGTCTTCAGTACGGTGCAGCCAAATTAGAAAGGAACATATTAACTTGGTAAAGGATATATATATATATATATATATATATATATATATATATATATATATATATATATATATATATCTAAACATCTATAAATCCATAAAATCTATAAAAAAAAAACAAAAAACACAAGTTTTTTTCTTTCCATTCTCTGTATGAGTTAATATACACAAGTAAAACATGCCATCAACCAAGTTTTACTATTTTTACAATAAATTTTAAAAATTTTATGATGTATTATGTCCATAATTGTATATATTAATGTGTGGTATAAATGAGTGTCAATGCTTACAAAAATAATCTCAACGACTAGTAAGTTACACTGAAGAATTGTGATATTTTTTAAATATTTACATAATTGTTTTTTACAGTGTCTTGAAAAAGGAATAAAACCGTTCCGAAAGCTCGACAAAAAGTCAAAAGAGTGTTTTTTTAACATCCCGGCCAATATTCTGACTGCAACCCTAATAAACTGTGTTGTTTGTATATATATATATATATATATATATATATATATATATATATATATATAGATAAATAGCTTCCTACACCTTTTCCGTCTTTTCAATACTATCTTTGGTAGGTGATGGTCTTGTCATTCTCTGCAGATATCCCTACCAAATAACCTGTTTTTGCTGTATTCCTTTACTGATGGTAATTACTCTGTTGATGATCCTTATTATTTAAATTGTAATTTGTATCATTCTAAATTTATCTGCTGATCTGCGCCAAAAATTAATTTCCTGAACAAGGAGGTTTTCTCCGGTTCTCTTAGTCAGCTGCCAGATGTCACACCCATAAAGTACAACACTTTTAAAGATCTGTTATATAGCTACATCTTTTTCTGTTTAGGGATAGTTTTTGACCAGACTAGTGTATTGAGTGAGCACTGAACTCACTACCATCAGCTATACTACTAGCTTAACATACATATTGGTTAAATATATAACTTTTGTTACATTTTTATAGTTACCGTCTTGGTTGAACGATACAGAATTAGACACCACAAAAATTCATTTTTCTGAAGGCAAAGGAAAACGAGGAAGAACTTATGTAGCAACTCGGACATTACCTAATGGACAAGGAGCATTCGCGTACGTAGGAATTTCTCTTACAAATGAAGAACCAATGTGGTTAGGAGCAGGTGAAAGGTAAATTCGATACAAAACAAAAATAGTATAACTTGGGTAGGAAACGTCTGCTTTTCGGATGAAGTACATTTTTAGTGTATTGTTATGTAACTGTAATTACATGGACGTATAAATAAAGATCTTTATTTATACGTCCATGGTAATTATGGTCCTGTAATATCTCGAAAAATCTACCTGGCGTGCTCTCAATGATTTACTAGAGATTTTTTTGTGGAATTTCGGTTAAAAGCGCTGTCTCGGCTTTCGGTGTCATAGACACAAAATCTAGAAACTACCATCCAATTATTTAAGGCGGTGATCCAGAGTTTGAAGTTTAGTTTTCTTGCGATCAGCGAAGTGTTTATTTTGTAACGTGATATACGATAATTATTAATGAGACATCTGTTATTTATATAGTAAGTTAATCTCTTAACCCATGTTCCGAAAGATTTCCGCCTTTAGTACAATTAAACTTAGAGCTAAGATTAATACTATTATAGGAATTAACCTCATCAGTCTTCCTGGTTAAACCACGTTGATTATCATTGCTCCCAGCTTTTGACATCCTCTTTGATGTCTTCTTTAGGACTTCTGAGGTCTCAGTCTCCCGAACCCCTAGACACTACTACACTGATCACTAACCATGCATTACTGGTATTGAGAACAGAGGACGGTTCATTTATATCGTCGATACTGACGTGGTTTGGGTAGAGGTGGGCGTAAGGGTTAGCGTGGTGATTGGCGCAAATATTTCTGACAGTAGGATTTTGATTAGCCGGTGGAGCGGATGAGATTTTGTTAATGAGAGGTCACATGTCGAAGAGAACCATATGCCGTCATTTTTTATTGAGACAACTTTGCCTTTTTTTAAATTTCTATGGCTTCTCTGATAATTCTTGGTTTATAGAAGCGGATGGGGGCTACGGTTTTGAAGTTTTCAACATCAATTTTGTGACCTGTATAAAGATAGTGTTGATCTAGAGCTGAAATTGAATGGAAATTGCGAACAGAAATGGAATTTTCATAAATCCTATTTTTGGAGGCGAAATATACGGGGATTTCATAAATAATACAAGGGATTTCATAAATTCCGTGTTGTTCATTTGGAATGTTGTCTTTGATTGATTGGACAAGAAATGAAAGTTTTTGTTGGGTGGAAATATTATAAGTATTCCTATTGATTTAAGAATTTTGTCGATTTTGTCAGAGATACCTTTACTTTAGCATGCAAGTAACAATTGGTATGGGTAGGTTTTCGATAAACAGAGTGATGAAAACATTAGAATTTTGGGTTGGAACTGATGTGTTTGAAAAGACGTCAGAGCATCCCTTCCATGGGGCCAAATAACGAATGTATCGTCAACATATCGTAGCGAGCATGTGGGTTTGAGCTCTGAGCTGTAGATAGTGCTCGGGTCTCGAAGTCTTCCATAACGATATTGACAATTACTAGAGATAGTGAGGATCCCATTGGGGCACCATTTTACTTAAATAAAATGCTGGATCAGAATTTACCTACTAATATCAGTTACGAGGACTAAACTGACGACAGTAGTTAAGGGTTGACACGTTTTTCTCTTAGAATTATAACAATGATTACTATAATTCTTTTACTCACAGCATTTATTATTATGTATTAAACGTTTTTGGCCGATATGATACTGAAAACCAGAGAAGTACCTAAGATGAAACGGTCACGCAAATTACTAATGGCGAAGAGAACTTTATTTTCTGAATCAAAATTAATCAATCACAATTGAATTTTACAAACGTATAAATAATAGATATAAATACGCCAAAAATGCAAACTTTGACTGTGGTTTAATATCTACAAAAATACTCATTATTATAATAATTGACCTCATGACGCGTACTGATAAACATATCGAACGGCAATATTAGACAACATACAATACCGCTATTTAATTTAAACAAATCGTCTAAAAACGAGCCGTAGTTGACTGCTACTAGAAATGTGAATTAAGTTAAGACTTTCGTATTGAATATTTCAATTTACCGGTGAAGCTAGATTCAGTTGTCAAGGTGTTAAATTTAAAAGCACGTCTGTGCACGAAAATTGTAACTTGCCTGTATATGTCAGGGATGCAATTTTAAAATCCTCGAGTATGATTTTATTCATCGCACAAAATCTGGGAAATTTATTATAGAATATATCTTCTAGTGTTTTCCACCATATACAATGTAACAATAATGTCACATTTTATATAAAGGTATGACATAAACAACTTCACCCAAACAAGTCCATGTATTTTATCCCTTTGTTTCCTGAAAACTTTAAAATCAAAAATTGAGGTAAAAATTAAATAATCTTACACTATTGGGTTGCTAAAAGACAAAAAAGTGAAAATAATATATTTTTTAATAGGATGTGATTTCGACATGATACCACTAGGAAACTAAAGATTTTTCTTAAGCAAATAAAAATCTGATAACTAAATAATATAATAGTATAAAAGGTAGATTACTTTTTATGATACAACGAAAAACAGTTCTTTTTTTCGCTAAGGCACAATCCATCCTTACACGTCGCACATTCCCACCTGGTTCTGTGAGGATCCTTACTAGTGCTACAAAAAGCCCACCGTCTAGATGTCCCCTGTTGTGGCATATGCAAACATTGGTCAAAGCGTTTCTCATAAGGCACAATTTTTTTTAAATGTTTCCCTGTGACTGTAGGAGAAGCAACCCTACTTCTAGACAGTTTACTACCACTGGCGCCGATTAACCCTGAAGCTACAGATAATCTAAAAAATTTCAAGTTTGGAACCGCTCATTTCGCTTTTTGTTGAAAAAAAAAAAAAAATAAAAGAATTCACATATATCTATGAAATGCCACAAAATTTGGTGCCACCATTTCTTTGATTTGCGGTCAATCTCATACACAGATTTCAGCATATCTGTTCTGTCAACGTAGCCCATATGCTGGTTATATTCTTTGACCATCGTTGGACAGGCGACAACTTGTGAATTTCCGTCTTTTTGCTTTGTGAACACCAGTCCATCTTTGCTGACCCTCCAGTCCAATTGTCCTCGGATGTGAAATTCTTTGTCAATGCCAAGTCTTTTGGGATATCTTTTCGGTTAGTCCTGACAGTGCCGTACGCATAAATACATTCTGATTGAAGTTTTTTTTGTAAGGGCACAGAGTTAAAAAAGTTATCAAGAAAACGTGATATCCTTTTGCCACCAAATCTCGAGTCAAAAGATTTGGCCCAAATCTTTTTCAGGTCGATCGTTAGTTTTTGTAACATATATTTGAAATTGGCAAACATATCCATTCTCGTCAGATCGAAGCCAAACTTTTTAACATCCCTTGCTGAGTTTTAGAGGCATAAATTGCTTTGGACAACTACGGCCCTTAAAACAAATCATAAATTCGTCTATGGATTATTGTTTTAAAGGACCATATGAAGAACGAGACGTTTCTGATACAGTATCCAATAAAGGCAAACTTTATTCAACTTGTCATAATTTGGGGAATCGCGATGAGGCATCATCGAATTATCTGCTAAATTCACGTTTCCTAGATGCGAAGAAAAAGATCTACTGTCGGTTACTGGTTATCTAGAGTTCTTCTCTAGATGACCAGTAATCGACATAACTGGGCCACCTTTTGATTCCCATTATTATATTGATGGCAATGAAAATTTCTTTAGCAGAAGTTGGTGTAAATAAAGAGTCTCCCCCACGTTTCTCAAGAGCGTAGAGGTTTGTTTGGAATACAATCTTCTCAATTAAAGTTCCAGTGTAAATAAGTGTAAAAAAAGCTACTGGCTTCTCCATATTATCTGGAATTTTAGGACCGTTATCTTCAGTGAACTGCTTGATGTTAGTAACGCAAGATGCCGCTGAGTTAGTCCAGGTTATTCTTTCAGCTAATTCTATATCTCTCAAAATAGAAGGGGGAATATTGTCCTCGTCATCCGAGAAGGCTTAATCAGGAATATTCTCTGAATTGTCGTCTCTTGAATGTTGGTCTGGCTGGTTATTTTCAAGTATTATTGGCATATTCGCAATGTCAAGCAAATCCTTTTCGTCACTACTCTATTAATCTGACTCGCCATCTGAAGGAATGTTTATCTAATAATGTGTATAGATTACCCGACGACATAATATTATTTAGATCTTTGAATGACGAGCTTCTATTAAGAAGTAGACGATATATTGAATTAGACTGCTTATATTTGAACGAAGGATCCTGAGAGGAATATTTGGTGGCATCTGTGAAAATGGTGTTTGAAGGAGGAGATACAACTACGAGGTATACCACAGATATAAACAAATATTTGGTGGTAAAGACGTAGTATCTCTTATAAGAATAGGAAGACTAAGATGGGCAGGACATCTAGCAAGATCACAGCAAAACAACCCTCCTAGAAGAATCCTTATGTCACAACCCGTGGGAAGTAGAAAAAGGGGTAGGCCAAAACTCAGATGGAAGGATGGTGTAGATGAGGATGGTAGAAAGATAGCGCAGCAAACTGGCAACGGTTGGCAATGGATAGGACTGCCTGGCGTAATAGACTTGGGAAGGTCGAGGCTCTTTCATAGGGCTGTAGCACCATTGATGATGATGATGATGAATGAATATACTTTTTTCCTGAAATAAAAAAAATAGTACATATTTTATTTAGTTTTCTAGTGGTTTCAGGATGAAACCGGCATTTTATATCTTCAATATACTTATTGTAAAGTGAAAACTTTTAGTAATAGGAAGTATTAATCATACATACAAATGTTTCTAATATTGTAAATAAAAAAAAAGTTACCTGCCATAGCGAAACAATCCAAACACCACCAAAATTGCTTATACCACTAGCCCGGTTCAAAACACGTGTTATTACCAACTAATAACTGAATAACGAGAATATAAATGGCGGTGCGCGATACATTTTAAAGCAGAAGTAGCCTTATACGTCATATTTGGTGAGTGGTTTCAGTCAAATACCACTGAGACTGTAGCTAAAAATTTATTTGTATGTGGTTTCACAATGAAATCACTAGGAAACAAAGGGTTAAAATACGTGATCGAATTATAATTGTAGGATATGATCCATTTACTATATGATTATTGAAAATTTTGTCTGAAAAATTGAAAAGTCTCATGTCTAAGTAATATATACTTATTTAAGATTTCGACATGTCAACAATTTATTTGGCAAATGGAAAAACGTTACAATTTTTTCGTCCAGAATCGATTTGTACGAAAATTTGGTATTAGACTCATTTCACCCTTTAGTTCATTTTCTTTACTGAGCCGTTGTACGCTTTTGGTTTTTTAATGGTGAACTGAAAACTATCCCTAATTGTAAACAAATATAAAACAACATTTTAAACTTTAATATGGTCAACATTTGGATTTTTTTAGTTAAATAATGATTGTTTTATGCTTTAGGATATAATATCATAATATGAAACTCTTAAAAACAACCCAGAAAAAAGTAGAATTACGTTCAAAAACATTATTTACACAAAAATACGTGTTTTTAAATACAAATACAAATCGTTTTAAGTCATCTTCATCGAAATCGATGTTATCTTCATCTTCTTCTATAATTTGGGGACTATTGTTGCAATCTTCTCTCAAGTACCCAGAACAAGTTTGATTGCAGTTTAACCCAAAAAAATTCGTTTAATACAGCTCCTTTATTTTTGGTGATACATTTTTTTTTTTTCAAAAATGGTTTTGTGGGATTTTTGAAGGGCTATAAGACTATGCAAATTAATTCCATAAAATCCCTTAGTTTTTAAGTGGGGTGAGTTTAAAGGGCTCGAATAAGGTCTTTGCTCGTAAATAGAGGTTGTGAACAGCTATACCTCGCTAAATATAATATTCACTGTAAAGAAAATCTATTTACAGGGACATTTTGTTTATTAAAAACATTATAATTGAGTACTTTATCATTTTTTTCGTATGTCCAGTATTTTCGGAGATATTTTGAAGAAAATGGTAAAAAATACAAAATGGCAAAAAATCAATTTTTTAAACTCCAATTTTTCTAAAATTAGGCCTTCAAATAGGTCAAACTTCTTAGGTGTATTGATAATACATATATAAAAAGAATTACAGAAATGTGATGATCAATTTTAAATAGGAGGTTAGAGGATTATTTTCACTAATTTTTTTCTTCGAAAAAAGTAGGTACCGACCTTATTTTGATCAGAAGTCGCTTAATTTTTATGCTAGAAACTTTTTTTAAAGGGCTAATTGTATACTTGAAAAAGGGTTCTGTAAGTTTTTCTTGAAAAATGCAAAGTCTTCCCGTTATTTGGCTTGAAATATTTTAAATTATGCATTTGACGAAAAAAGCTAACCTTTAACATGCCGTATCTCGGTTTGTATTGGTCGTAGACAAATTATAAAATAAGGATTTTGTTTGTATTTCCAAAAGATATCATTTTGATATCGCCACTTGCTTTGATTAAATGTATATTTTTCGGGTTTTTTCCATTCTTCTTTGTCCTCCATTCTCCGTCTTCCAATCCTCTTCTTTCCATGGCTTCATCTACCTCATCTCTGAAAGATCTTCTTGGTCTGCCTCTTTTGCGTTTTTCTATGGGGCTCCACTCTGTTATTTTTACTATCCATCGGTTTGGGTATGTTCGTCTGACATGTCCGTATCACGTTAACTTTTTTTCTTCAATATAATCTAAGGTGTCTTTCTTTATCTCCATTCGTCTTTTGATTTCGTCGTTAGTTATTCTTCTTCTCCAGTAGTCCATTTCTGTGGCGTTTATTTTGTTTGTGCTGCTTTTGTTTAAGAACCAATTTTCTGCCCCATATGTTAGAATGCTGCGAATCATCGTGTTATAAATCCTTTTTTTGTTATGTGTCTGTCTTATATGCGTCTGTATTATGCGTCTTATAGAGTTTCTGGTTTGACCCACTCGATTTCTAATTATTCTTCTGTAGTACCTTTATTTGATATAATGAACCCCAGGTATTTAAATTTATCGTCCCTTTATTTCACGCCGTCATCCACTTCAGGTTTCTTGTTGGTTCTTGTGTTGTGTTCAGATATTCTGTTTTGTTAATGTTTATTTTCAGCCATTTATATTATATTCTTCTTCTAGTTTTCGAACCATATAATTAAAATCTTCCTCGTCTTGTGCTATTATGACCTGATCGTGGGCAAAACTGAGGGTATACAGATGGTCGTTCCTTATGGGTACTCCCATTCCCTCACATTTCCTTTTCCATCGCTTTAGGGCGTATTGAAGAAATATTTTAAAGAGTGTAGGTAAAGTCAAACAGCCCTGAAGGAGACCCTTCGTGGTTTTAAATGGTTTTACAAACTTGTTACCTACCTTGACTGTAATTACTAGAAGAGCAAGACTGGCATGGGCAGGATTTGGAAAACTTAGTTGGATACTTAAGAACCGCAAAATACCCCAATACTTGAGGAGCAACATGTTCAACCAATGCATCCTTCCTATCATGACATATGGATGTTAAACCTGGACTCTAACCAAGGCAAACATAAATAAACTAGCCACAACAGAATGAACAATGGAAAGAGCAATGTTAGGTATACGACTGTCAGATAAAAAGAGAAACGACTGGGTAAGATCCAAAACAAATGTCGAGGACATAACAACAAAAATTGCCAAACTTAAATGGAGCTTCGCGGGCCACACTGCTAGACAGAAAGACCAACGTTGGAAATACTACAATACAATATTGGAGACCTTACGAACGTAAACGACCAAGAGGAAGACCACAGATGAGATGGGTTGATGACATTAAAAGAATAGCCGGCACAAATTGGAAATATGTTGCTCAGGATAGAGACCGATGGAAGGAGTTGGGAGAGGCCTATGTCCAAACATTAACGACAGAAGGATAAGAAGAAGAAGAATATGGTATGATCATACTGATATTGTAAAGAAGATCAACGAACCAGCAAGTTTAAATAATCGTAGACTGTACAGAGTTAAAAAATAAAAAAAAATCTGTTTTAATTAGATATTTGAATAAATAAGTTAATTTTTTTATTTAAATACCTTTTTTGATATGCCAGGTATTGGGTATTTTTTGGATTCTGCAAAATTTGCAATACCAGGTATTGGGGACAAAACATGTATTTAAAAATAACTGTTTTCGTCACATGTATAATTAGTAATAAACTGCATCATACATTTTGCTTAAGAGAAAAAAAAATCTGAGTAAAATTAACATTTTAATATCAGAACATGTATCTTTCTGGCCTTAGAGTGTCAGGTACTGGTGCCTCTACCTTACTTACTCTTCACTTCAAAATTGTGCCCTTGGTTGTATTTTATATTTTAGAAGTGAAAGCGACCCTAAAAAAAAATCATAAAATCATAAATTCAAGCAATTTGGAATTATTTAATTATGCAGTGATATTAAATTTAGATTTATTTAGTTTATTTCACTTTAGAAAAAATGCAATTTTTTCTAAATTTAATTTTTTTTTACTTTTAAATCAATTTTTTTCAAAAATGAGCACTTTGACTTAACCGGTTAAACTTACAGATCATATAAACATTACAAAAATAAAGTAAACTGTAACGACTAATTTTATTTGGGGTTCTAATTTGGGGGCGATTTTCATAATGTTGTTACCAAAAACAAAGGGACCAACTTTATTTTGAGCTCGCTTAGTTTCACATGCTAGAAAAAACAAAAATAATGCTTTTTAAACACTTTTCAAGTTTTAATAAGTTTTTCCCGAAAAAGTGCTTTATTTTTTGGTTATTTCACGTTGAAATATTTGATTTGGAATTTGACAAATGGGAACTTTCTTTTTATGAGTAATAACTATGCTTTTACTTTGTCTACAAACTTTCTAAATACACTTGTTTATTTAGAAAGTGCATGTACACAATTTTTATTGTTTTTTTTTATAAGGTAAACTTTTGCTAAGAATATTTTTTTCGCTAAATTCGTATTTTTTCAGTTATTTGTGAAAAACTGTCTGTAAACGTGGTTTTTATTTAAAAAAATTAACATTTTCACTCTCAATTAACTCAAAAGTTTTAACTTTTGGTCAATACTTTTTGAAACTGACTGAAAAAAACTCTATGGAATAAAAGACGAGTCAGTTTATCCCAATCCGGACTTATTTTGAACATAATATGTTTTTTGATTCCCAAGAAGGGGTGGCTATCATCCCCCAAGTAAAAGCAACCCTGGGCTTGGTTCCAAAAGTGAAGTAGAGAGTAAAAGAAGCCTAAATCCAAATTTACAAGCAAATCCGCCGTGTCGAGGATAATTATACTTCAAAACTGCCATTTACTAAAGTAATTTATTTAATATTCTTTTCAAAGTATAATTACGTTACAGTTCATTTGATCAGAGAATGGAGAAAAATTTGTAGAGATGGTACCTCCTATAACCGAAATGGAGAAGATCCTATCTAGACGAAAAGATCCTAAATATAGGGAAAAAGTATTACAGTTTTACGACGCTCTAATGCAACACATTGCTGATGAATTAGATGGTAAGAGTTACTAATACTACAATAGGTTTTTTACATTAATTTTATTGCAAAACAAATAAATCAGTATATCTACAAAGGTAATTAACATACTTTTAAAATAATTAAACTTGACCCTAGTATTCATTTAAAATTTTGGCAGGAATTGCAATCTCAATTATAATGATAACCCAGTATTTTGTTTATGAATTAGCATTATCTCTAAGGCAACAGTGAAGTAGGATTTCACTTTGCTGATTCTTTTTAAGACTGTCTTTATGAACTCTACTATTGTATTTTGATCGTTTCTTTTCGTTCACCAAACCAGCACAGAATATTCAATTACAAATCTAATACCAGTTATATATTTGGGATTTGGAATTATATATTTGAAATTTTAAATTAGTTACTATTTAAAATTGTATTGGGTTTTAAAGTGTGCATTCTATTTAAATTACCTATCAATGCCAAGATACTTTGAGATAATCTTTTCCGACAATGATAGTGTTATTCCATTTATGCTTACCTCTGACCTCTATATTAGACTAATTACTATTTTAATGGGAATGTCAAAATTATCATTGTTGACAATAAAATGCTGAGCTTGCAAGATTGTGCTTTGCTATAACGAATGTATTTTTATAAGCGATACGTATTTAATACAATGTGTGCTCAAGTTTCTAATTGTCCAATAAAATTTGATAAACCTAATTTATAAAGTATTCTTAAATTGTTTTATTAATTCAGGATATATATTTTATATATAACATGCTCTATACAGGGTGAGTCATGAGGAACTTTACATACTTCATATGTAGAGTCCCTCAGGGAGCATATCATGTGGCCACTAAAAAATGTTAACTCCTCTTCTTTATTCATTAACAGGGTGATTTGTGTAATTGACCATTTATTTCATTTTACTGTAGTGTTTATACGGCTCATTTGATTTTTTAATTTTTGCATGATACAGTACACTACTATCAAGCATTCGACTGGTATTAGCTAAACTAAAAAATTCCAGGACTGGCTTTGGAAAAATTAATTTAGGGATTCGTATTAAATATTACACCCTGTATATATTTTTTAAAATGCAATAAGTGATTTTCAAACTACATAATTAGCCAATGAAAACGACATATGCGACAATGTTGTCGCACTTTTATTAAATTTTTAGTGAACGATCAAATCTTACCAAAAATAGAACAACCATAATGAAGTATCAAATTATAAGGTATTAATTTAAACAAATGTTATAAATTTCAAACATTTTAATTAAAATGAGTTCCTACAACATAATCTAATACGTAGAAAATTAACATCTTTACTGTCACTTTGTATTATCTCTACGATAGAATCAATTGTTTTTCAATTTTAAACTTTTACTCATAGATCGTATTGGGGCATTATTTTGAGGCAAACCTCTTGTATGTGTTAGTTTTTGTTGATTGTAAATGATTCAAATTTTATGTCAAATAATAATACATTGCATCAACTGTACTAAATAAAAATAAATCTAAAAAGTTTAAAATGGAGGTTGGCGTTGACCGTTTGACGTTTCTTGATATTTTATACCCATTGTCATTATTGTCATTATCAATTGTTATTTATGTGTACAAGAATACATATTTCTTCTGTCATATCTACGTTAAGTACATTGTGTTAGTTTTGGTGGAGCTTTTGTTACTTTCGTTCAAAATGCCACATCAGTTTTCGACCACAGAATATGCAGACATAATATTTGTTTATGGATTTGTAATGGAATGGTAAGGCTGCTAGTAGAGAATATCGCAGGAGATTTCCTAATCGTCGAACTCCCAGTCATCCAACATTTGGGTTCATTCTTAATTATTTGCGAGAAAATGGCACTTTTGCTAGTGGAACAACAGAGCGACATGTAGATGAAGCGCAGGAAAATGACATTATGGACGCCGTTACTATGAACCCTACAATAAGCACTAGACAAGTAAGTCGAGAACTCAATGTTACTCAATCAAAAGTAAGTAGAGTCTCACAAAAAAATAATCTATACCAATATCACATTTAAATGGTTCAGCGACTACATGCTGGAGATGAGATCGATAGGTTGGAATTTTGTAGATGGATTAACAATAATCGACCAACACTATACAGGACACTATTTACAGATGAAGCCCAATTTACCAGAGACGGGATAAATAATTCACGAAATTCACATGTGTGGGCAAAAGAAAATCCCATGCTATTCGAGAACGTCGTTCTTAGTTAAAGTTTTCGGTTAACGTGTAGATTGGTGTCATAAATAACCAATTAGTAGGTCCTCACTTTTTTGATGGTCCTTTAACAGGGCAGGTCTATTTGAACTTTCTACAAAATATTTTGCCGAATTTGCTTGTCAACGCGAACGTTGCTATCAGAGGGATGTATTTTCAGCATGATGGGGCACCCCACACTTTTTACTGGCAGTGAGACAACATCGCAATAATGTTTATGGCAACAGGTGGATAGGACGTGCAGGTTCTATTTCGTGGCCTTTAAGATCCCCTGATTTCAATCCCGTTGATTACCATATTTGGGGACGATTGAAGCAACTAGTTTACGCAGTGAACATTAATAACGACAACAATTAATTGATAGAATTATACATTGTTGTAATACTATTAGAAACGATCCCCAGAGTATCCGTAATTCAATACGTCAATTAACAATTCGGCAACAAAAATGTGTACAGGCTGCAGGGTTCCATTTCGAAAATCTATTTTGAATTATTTTTATCTTGTTACCATTATTGTATCTTTTCCAGTTCTAATTTATGGGTTTATCATAACTATGTACATATTTTTAGTTTTTTTTTAATTGTTCTTCGTTATTGTTAGTAGTTACTGTTTTTTGTTGTGCAGTGACTTAGTTTATGATTTCAATTAAAATGTTTGAAACTTATAACATTTGTTTAAATTAATTACCTCATAATTTGATACTTCATTATGGTTGTTCTATTTTTGGTAAGATTTGATCGTTCACTGAAAATTTAATAAAAGTGCAACAAAATTGTCGCATATGTCGTTTTCATTGGCTATGTACTATGCTGTATGTAGTTTGAAAATCACTTATTGCATTAAAAATATATATATATATATATATATATATATATATATACAGGGTGTAATATTTAATACGAATTCCTAAATTAATTTTTCCAAAGCCAGTCCTGGAATTTTTTTAGTTTAGCTAATACCAGTCGAATGCTTGATAGTAGTGTACTGTATCAAGCAAAAATTAAAAAAATCCAATAAGCCGTATAAACACTACAGTAAAATGAAATAAATGGTCAATTACACAAATCACCCTGTTAATTAATAAAGAAGAGGAGTTGACATTTTTTAGTGGCCACATGATATGCTCCATGAGGGACTCTACATATGGTAGAAGTATGTAAAGTTCCTCATGACCCACCCTGTATAATAGTGATGATAGACTTTGGGATCTCACCTAAGTTAGTTAAATTGGCAAAAGTAACAATGCAAAACGTAAGCTCGGGCATTAGAATTCAAGGAGAAAACGTTGCGTTCTTTAATATTTATAATGGTCTAAGACAGCGAGACGCGCTAGCGTGCATTTTCTTTAATGGAAAATCCAGTCAGGAAGATAAATATTAGATTGGATGGAATCATCGACTTCGAAATTAAAATATCGACACAAATTTTCACACTCGCTGATGATATCGTTATAGCGGGTAGAAGTATGAGATACATACACACGTATCTGCTATAAAGTTTACGAATGCGGCCAGTTAACTAGAACTTGTAAAACGAGGAAGAATCCAAATATATGTTAATAAAGATGGATTGATGATGTCGAATAAGATCTTAAGATTCTAAGGGTCGAAAGTTAAAGGGAAGTTGCTAGGAATCCACGAGAGTGGCGACTTCTCTGCGAGCTGACTAAGACCCACAAAGGATTATCGACAAAATTATGATAATGATTATGATAATAATAACACTCATCCTTACGTTATTATTCCTACGGCGTTTATTGATCTCTGAGATAGGTAATTATATTCTCTGTAGTTTGCGTGTGTTGAATCTATATGATTATAGAACTTTTTTCTGCTGAGTCAGCATTAATGTATTCTAATGAGGCAGTATTAGTATTAGTTACCTATAGCGATAATGAGACAGTCTTCTTTTTAAAGTGCCTATCCGTTCCAAAGGTTGGCGATCATCACGGCTATCTTTACTTTGTTTATTGCAGCGCGGAACAGTTCAGTGATAGTCGTGTTATACCACTTTCGTAAATTTTGAAGCCAGGAAATGCGTCTTCTTCCGGTTCTCTCTTACCATTTACTTTCCTTGGAGAATCAGCTGGAGAAGGCCGTAACGTTCTTGATTTCTCATTACATGTCCTAGATATTCAACTTTTTAGTTTTGGACGGTCATGAGATTTCACATTCTTTCCCCATTCTACGCAGGACCTCCACATTAGTAACTCTGTCAACCAGGATATACGTAAGATGTGCCTATAACACTACATTTCGAAAGCTTCGAGACCATTGATAGTCAGTCAGTGTCGACGCTTCATTTTGTAGAGCAGAACTGTGAATATATAGCAGTTAAATAGACGGCATTTTGTTTTTAATGATATGTCTCGACTGCTGAAAATGGTTCTCATTCTAACGATTGCTGCTTTTGCTTTTATTATTCGCTGTTTAATTTCTGTTGAGTGGTCCCATTGGCTATTTAAATTGGTGCATATAATATGTATATTGCTCGACTATTTCGATATTCTGTTGGTTCATTAAAGTTGAGCGTTTAGTATTGGTTTTTTTTGGTTTTTTATGGTTTTATTATATAAAATTCCCTGGACAGATCACACAACAAATGTCGAAGTATTAAATAGAATGGGCAGAGAACGAGAATTGCTGCCAATAATAAAACGAAAAAAAACTTAAAGCTTATTATGGAAGGGAAGATAGAAGGAAAACGAGGCATCGGAAGAAAGAAATACTCATGGCTTAAATACATAAGGGATTGGACAAATCTCGATGCCCATGTACTTTTTAGAGCCACACAAGATCGAGAGGAGTATTCCAGAATTGTCGCCAACATCCACTAATTGGATAGGACACCATAAGAAGAAGAATGGTTTTATAAAACCAAATTTATGACAATTAGTAAAAAACCAATACTAAAGAAACCAAAAACCAATGAGACAGTAGCTTACATTAAATATTGAGATACTCATAAGAATTGTTCTTCTTCTTACGGTGCCTATCCGTTCCGGATGTTGGCGATCAACATGGCTATCTTAACTTTGCTTGCTGCTATTCTAAATAGTCCGGTTGTCGATGTATTAAACCACTTTCTCAGGTTTTGAAGCCAAGATATTTTTCTTCTCCTGGTCCTCTCTTTCCAAATACCTTGCCCTGAAGAATGAGTTGCAACAAGCCGTATCTCTGTTCATTCCTCATAACATGGCCAAGATATTCTAGTTTGCGCTCTTTGATGGTGTTAATAATCTCGCATCCTTGCCTATATCTACGTAGGACCTCAACATTAGTCACACGATCCACCATGAAATGAAGAATTCCCCAAGTAAAATGCTCAAATGACACTAATTTTGACATATTAGACTTATGCATGATGTAATTGCCCAAGGGGATTATTATTGATATGATCTAAGGCGAAAATGTATAAATACATATTTTGTTTATGTTTTTCTTTTTGAAAGTACTATCTCAGCGACGGAGGTCGGCAATCATTAGAGCCATTTGGACTTTGGAGACGGATGCTCTGAAAAGTTAATTTGATGTACATCCTCACCATTCTCTCAGGTTGCATAGCAATGATATTCTTTGTCTCACTACGCTACTCTTTCCTTAGATCTTTCCCTGAATGATCAGTTAGAGCAAGGAAAAGTTCTCTTCACGTGTAATATGTTTTAATATTCTAATTTTTCTTATTTTTATTGAAATTTGGATTTCCTGTCTCTACACATCCTTCTCAGAGCCTCTTTATTTGTGACGTGTTCTGTCCATTATATTTTCTTCTATACACTCACAAGAAGAAAAATAAGAGAATCTAAAGAAAAAGAAGCTGTAGAGAAATGTAAAGAAATGTATACAAAAAGGTAAAAGAAATAACGGGTACTTTTAAAAAGCGAACACAAATGAAACTCATAGACACCAATGGAAAATTAATCATTACACCCAAGAGATAAAAGACAAATGGAGAATATATTTGGAGACACTTTTTCAAGATCAAAGAACGGATTATAGGCATCCATTTTTAGAGAGGATGACGGGCCCGGACATACTTAAATCCGAGGTAGAAGAAGCAATAAAACGGATGAAAAGCAGGAAAGCGGTAGGGCCTGATAATATCGAAGCTGAATTTATAAAACTCTTGGAGGAAGAAGGAATAATTGGATCACGGCTGTCTTCAATAAAATATACAATACAGGAATCATCCTGATAAATGGCTAGAATCAGAATTCATAGCGATACCTAAAAAACAGGGGCTAAGAAGTGCGAAGAATATAGAACAATCAGCCTAATGAGCCACATGTTGAAACTGTTTCTTAGATTCATCCATGGAAGAATTTATAAGAAGTGCGAGGAACAAATATCGGCCAGACAGTTCGGCTTCATTAACGCAGTGGGTACCAGAGAGGCACTTTTCGGAGTACAGGTACTGATTCAAAGATGCAGGGACGTTAACTGCGACGTATACGCGTGCCTGATTGACTATGAAAAGGCATTTGATAGAGTTCACATCAAAAGATGATAAACATTTTAAAAGAGGCAGACCTGGATGACAAAGACCTCAGAATAATTTCAGAACTCTACTTCAATCAGACCGCATACATGAAAATTAACAGAGAAGAAAACACATAAAAATCACATAAACAAAAAAACACTATAAAAAAACACACAAGAAACAGATCACATAAAAATACTACGTGGAGTTAGACAGGAATGTATCCTATCGCGTTAATATTTAATATGTACTCAGAGAAAATTTTTAACGAGGCTCTTTATGGAATAGACGAAGGCATCCTTCTAAATGGTGAAAGATTAAACAATGTTAGATATGCCGACGACACCACGGTGATAGCAGATAGTTTAGAGGGACTTCAGAGGCTAATGGACAGATAAACCAGTATAGTCAACAGTACGGACTAAACATTAATACCCACAAAACGAAACAAATGATATTGATATTGATCAGCAAGGAGAATATGAACGGGGCTCATACATACATTAATGGGACGCAGAAAAAGAGCGAGTAAAACAGTATTGCTACCTGGGAACTATTATAAACGAACAGTGGAGCAATGTACAGAAAATAATTGCCGCATAGGAAAGGCAAGAAGAACGGTCTTTAACAAAATGAGCGCATCTGCAAAAGTCACAACATATCCCTAGATACAAAAATGAGACATTTGAGATGCTATGTTTTCTCTTTGTTGTTGTACGGGGCGGAGGCATGGACGCTTACAGACACCACTATTAAAAACTTGAAGCATTTGAGATGTGGCTTTATAGAAAAATGCTGAGAATATCATGGATAGCAAGGATCACGAACAAGGAAGTTCTAGGAAAAATGAAGAAGGAACCAGAGATTGTGTTTACGATCAAACGCATAAAATTGCAATATCTGGGACACGTTATGAGAAATCGGCACCGTTACTCACTGCTGCAGTCTATATTGCAAGGTAAAGTCAAAGGTAAGCGAGGACCTGGTAGAAGGAGAATATCATGGCTGCGAAATTTAAGAACATGATTTAAGAAAACCTCAACAGATCTGTTTCGAGCCGCAGCGAACAAGGTTATGATGCCAATATGATTTCCAACATCCGAAACGGATAGGAACCAGAAGAAGAAGAATACACCCACAACTCGGATAATTCCAGTTTTTTCATTAATGTCGCATTTAAGGTCCAAGATTCCATTCTATAAAACAAAGTCAAATTTTGATTTCCTGAAAGTATCCATTTGTGGAGGTAACCGTTGTTTAAAGAAACGCATATTTGTCCACTCGTTTATTAGAAGATTCTCGGTATTTCTGTGAGTTTTCGATATTCTCATAAATTTTATCTTCTTAACGTTCATTGCTAGACCGTATTCTTTTCCATTGTCCGCTATTGTAGTCACCAGTCTCTGAAGATCTTCAATATTTTCGGCTAAGATCACAGTACCATCGGCATACCTAATGGAAAGGCCGTTTACCCTTATTTAGGCTCCTTATGTGTATCAGTGAGACTTTGTTTTCACAATCATGCCATTTGTTTACCTTTCTTAGACAGATTAAATGGATCGAATCTTTTTTTAATGCCCTCGATACATTTGTTTTTATATATAAAGTAGTTTTGCCTACTTTATCATCCTCTTAATTTCATAGTTAATCCATAATATGGATAATACTTGTCTTTGTTGTTCCATAATATTGAGTATCTCATCTTTCATCAATTCCTCTTTTCTTCTTACGACTTTAGTATTTGTTTACACAGTCCCAGTAGACAATGTTTTAGTCGATCTCAGTGCTTGTCAATATCATTGGTGTCTACGTTCATGCTATAGTTTATATAAGGCTCGTATTAAAGGCATTCTTTTACATTGGGTTTATTAACATGTTGCTTGCCGTCTCGATCTATGTAACCGAGAGAAAATTGCTCTACCTGCCAGCGATGTCTATTTAACCGACGGATTAGCAGATGTGATGCAATAAATCGTCACATCGACTGAGACACCACAGTCACATTAAAATTCTAGGTGAAATAGACCTCCCTGGCATACAGAGCAACATTTTTCTCGGTCACATAGACCGAGATGGCAGGCAACGTGTTAAGCTTGCTAGTTTCTTTTGTAGGAAATATTTGATCTCTGAAGTCTTTTAATATTATAATCCTGGCGATAAGTGGATTGTGACCTGAGTTTTGTTTTGTTTATAAATCAAAACTGTAAAATATTAATATATATATATATATATATATATATATATATATATATATTATATATAATATATATATATATATATATTATATATATATATAATATATATATTATTATATATATAATATTATATTTATATATATATATATTTATATTATATATATATATATTATATATATATATATATATATATATATATGTACCGGTATTTAGGCGGCACGCCCTTCCGGTAGGGATCGATGGCGGAGTATCACCGAGTTGCAAGCGTTTATCTCTTGCCGTACTGCTCCACCATAGGCCGATCAGACATCAGCTTATTCTAGTCTAAGCCGCAGATTTATCTAGAATTTTAAGCTGCTACGTTAGCCTTTTTTATTTTTCTGTACACCGAACCCACATCCACTGAACCATTCGACAGAGGAGCGAATGAGAATTGGCCGCCTAGCCCGATTGGCTATCTGACCGACTAAAATATTAATTATATTCTGAATCTTTTTTGTTCCAGGCAAAGAAGTAGCCGATAATGAAACCATTGAAGGACTTATAGCACAACTAATACACGATTTGACTGATAAAAATATGTATGATGAGTATGAGCAAATGGAAGAGGGTGAAAGAAGAATTGAACTTCTATTAGTTTTGTTTGACAGAGTTAAAATTAGGAGAGATAAGGTAAAACTGTACTCGAAATGTACTAACAGATTTTGTCACGAATTAAAAAAATTATCTATGATTCTTCTCAGCAAAGTGAGTCTTTGTTTTTAATTCACTGCATAAGATAAAGTTCACTGCACAAAATTGTTGCACCAACACGAAATTGGTCTAAAAATGGACCCTTGTTTAACGTCAAAAATGAAGGGTTGGTGTGTTGGTCATTGCCTGATCTTTGATTTATCTTTTTTTAGAAAATCGAAAATAATTTCTATCCTTGTGCGATCGGTACTCACCGGAGGGACCGCAGACGTGCGAATACAATAAGCGTCTCTTAGCAAAGACAATGACGTCGACTTTGCTAAGTATCAAGACAATTACTCTACAAACACACACACACACACACACACACACACACACACACACACTACACTAGGTACCTGACTGTACCATGCCAATGATCTTAGTTGTCGAGGCATTAACTCAATAATAAAAAAAAATATAACTTCAAATTGATAGAAGTCTTCCTGTGTCTGGTTCTAGACAAAAAAGTGACTCAATAATTTGCTCATAATATTGTAAATGAAGTGCTGGAATAAATTAATTCAAGTTTGCAATAAACTTTTGAGGAAAACTTCTCAAAAATTTTATAACTTAAATCTAACAACACGGCTAAAACTTTCACAAAAATGTTTGACTTTTTTATAAATTTTTAACAAAATTATTAACAATTATTAAAATTTTTTTTTTCAAATTTGTTAAGTAACACATTGATCAAAATAACTTTAATAACTTTCAAATTGTACGTTTTGCATGCTGTTTCAGTAAAAGATGTCAAAAATTAATAAAACCCACTGACTTTAATCTACAGTTTTTAACTCTAATCGAGGTACTAATTGCGATATTTATAAAAGGTTTATTCCTAATGTACGTAAAGGGTAATTAAAAATTAAGAAAAGACGCCAAAATCCTACAACAAAAACAACTTTTTTGAGAGCACGGATTTTAAAGTTCATCCTCCAGTACTTCAAGCTGACATACGCTTTAAGCTCCACATTTTGAAACTTTGTAGACGACACCATCAACGCTTAAGGGACATTTTTGCAAACTTTTTATAGTAAAACTATAAGTTTTAAATTGTTATAAAGAAACCAGGTATGAATTAAAAAAAGGGATCACTTCATCCCTTACTATCATAGATGTTTTAAATTTGGGAAAAAATATTGTTGTGAAGCTACTTTTTTATGGCTTCTTAATGCAATTGAGTATTTTTAGTGAGAATAAGGTACAATTTTATTTTAAAATGATTTTATTTTGACGTTTAGACTTCCAATTTGGAAATCGTTCTCAAAATAGAAAACCTTAATAAATTAAACAAATTTTATTTTTAAGCTAGTAAAAAATTCGTCTATTTAATTTTATCTGAATTATTATTATTGGCAATTTAGACATTATACATTATAAAGTAAATGGGAAGAGAGTTTATTCGATTACATGAAATCAACTTTAACTTAATATGTAATACCAGTCAAAACAATCATAGCATCTGATGTGTCATTAAAAACAACCACATTTAATAACGGCAATAAACTTCTCTTGTTAATGATCCCATAGTGGATTATGTGGAAAGAACCAGAAAAAAACCTCATTATACGAACTATCGAAAAAAAAGGAGAAATATGCAAAATTTAATTAAAAAAGTCTAATAAAATTAAATATAATATAAGAAGAGGAACTAAAAACTGTAAGAACTTTCCATAATTATCCTTTTTTTATAGGAGAAATATTTATTAACATCTGTTTTATTAAAAATTTATTATCCTTTGTTTTTTATAAATAAGGAGTTATTAAAAATAGCCGAATGGAATAAAATAATGGAATCCCGTAACATTCACATTACGAGGAAAAATAACAATAAATATACATAAATCGATTATCGGAAAAACTGGTAGAAAACAAATTTAACATTTCAACCATATTCAAGACAACAAACACTTTTATATCTATTTTATTTAAAACTAAATATATAATTAACTAAAAAGAACACATAATTGTATTTATAAAATACATTGTGAATGCGAACAATTTATTTAGGGGAATCATCAAGACCATTAAATGTAAGACCCTTAAATAACTATTAGTAAGTCACTAACATATCAAGGATATATCATTTACGTTTTAAAGTAACATAGATATAAAATCAGAGTTTGGTGTTAATATTGAGAGTAAACGTATATAGTCGTCCCTGGAACGCAACTCAAAAATATTGTCAGTGTCATTTTAAGGTTATAAAACACTTAAGTTTAAAATGTAGAATATATGCCTGAATAAAATAAATTTAAAATAAAAACCTTTTTTATTTATTATTTGTAACAAAATAAAACTATTTTAAAATAAAATTGTGGCTCGTTCCCAATAAAATAGTAAATTGTAAAAAATATCACCTAGTCAAATATGAAAAAATAATTTTTCCCCGAGCAATACGACAAAAGTTATTCAAATTGTTTTTAAGCGAGAAGTCGCAAAGTTTTTATTTCATAAAATTTTTTAGAAGTACTCAAGTACTCAAGATGCAGAGATAATTTTAAACAAAAATGTTTATAAGCATTTTTTGTGTATTACCCGTTCACAAATTGTTGATAGCACGAAATGTGCCTCAAAGTCATAAAACGGTCGTTAAATTTGTATCATCATAGGCGTTCCTGAGGTGTTTATTCATTAAAATTAATATTAATATTAATAATGTTTTAATACTAATATTTTTAGCAAAAAGCAATTAAAACTTTCACGGCTTATGTTGGTTATTATATTATATTAATAAAAATAGAATTTAACCATTAACAATTTTGTAAATAAGAATACCTTATCTCTTTGATCTACTAGAAAACCTGGAATTCATATCCGAAGGTACAATTCGTTGCAAGATAATTAGGATGGAATTCCCTAGATTTTTATTAATATAATGGGTATAGATACCGGCTATGGCCACGTGCCTCGTCTGATCAGTTTATATTCGAAACTTAATTTAAAAGGGTGAAGTTATTACGAACGAAAACAATTTTTTTATTTAGTAACGTTTTTGATAGCATGTAATTTACGGCTCGTCGGCGTTTCCGCGTCTACGGCCGTAATTAGCGTCTCGAATATTTCTTTTGCAAATTATATGCAGTGCGTGAGTGATTTTTTATTCCATATACCTATGAACATATACGTACCTTTTGCTCGTGCTCGTTTTTGTTGGATTGTTTGTGATGGCTTCATCATCAACATAATCAAGTTTTACACCAGTACTGTTGCGTACAGTCAGTAAGTCTGTCTATTCACCAAAAAAGAAGACCATTGTCCTGAATATTCACGATGCTCTGGTTTCTCAGAATCCCACAAACACTGTTCGCAACATAGTCGAAAGTTGTGCCAGGCTTTAGCTCCAGGCAAGCCTTTATGGAAGGTTGGTCTACTGGTATCTCTACAGTTTCTAGTAAAGGCAGTAGATTAATAATTTCTCACATTGGCAGTGAAAAAGGAATTTTTAAGCATGGGTTGTTGTAATTTCAGTCCAAAATCACAAAAGACTACCACGAGGAGATGACAGCTGATGTTTTCGAAGAGTATTTTAAGCAGATGATTAAACACATACCACCAAATTCAATTATAGTATTAGATAATGCACCTTATCATTCATGACTAGTAGAAAAACTTCCAACGACTGCGTAGAAGAAACAGGATATTCTTGACTGGTTGCGGAATAAGTATCTGCCTTACGAAGATGGAATGTTAAAAACAGAACTTTTAAAAATTGCCCGGCAACACAAATTTGAGTTCAAGAAATACGTACTTGACAAAATGGCGGAAAGGTGAAACATCACAGTCCTTAGACTTCCACCCTACCACTGCGAAATAAATCCAACTGAACTCATTTGGGCACAATTGAAAAGTTATGTGGCTAGAAAAATACGTCATATAAAATATAAGCTGTACGTGAATTGTTATACGAGTCTTTACAACATATTACAGAACAAAACTGGAAAGATGCAGTAAGACATGTAATAGAAGAATAACAAAAATGTGGGATCTTGATAACATAATTGATGTAGAGACGTAGAGACACAACCGCTAATTATTAACCCTCAAGACGACTCGGATTCCGAAGTTGATCCTATTTATTTTGAATTTGAATAGTTTTATAATCGTAATTATATAAGGTAAGTAATAGTAGTTGTAATCGTACGGTATTAAAGGGGAAAGGCGCAAAATGTCAAAATGTTCAATGTGTTTTAAGTGTATCCATTTTTTTTTTCAAATCCTGAGAAAATTAAAAAGCATTTTGAAAAATTTAAAGGCAGAATGAAATATTTATTAGAATAAATAAAAGTTTCTTTTGCATGCAATATTTTCAATTAAAAATTATTACTATATTTTCTCTTTCATTTTCACCCCTGTTACATAATATATTAAAATAAACATTGTAGAAGTTTTCAGAAACTTTCTGCCGTCAGTAATAATGTAATCTTTCATTCTGCGTTAAATTTTTCAAAAATATTTATTAGTTTTCTCTGGATTTAAAAATAATGGATACATTTAAAACACATTGAAAATTTTGCTAGGCGACATTTAACGCCTTTCCCCTTAATTAAATAAATGTATCTTTTACAAATGGCAAGAAACTTTTTATTTTTGAATAAAATAAGAAATTTTATTAAAACAAAATACAATTTAAAAAATATAGTTATTTAGTTCAAATAAATGTTTCGTATACTCTACGGCACTGGTCGGTCATCTGTAACTAAAATACCTTCGTAATCGGATTATAAGGTTGACCGCTGTATTGTATTCCTGCAGATACAAGGTGGGTTAGTCGAAAACATCTTAAACCGTCAGTTTCAGGTTGGTTTTTACTGTTATATCGTATTACCGATCCTCTCTGTATTTCAGTTCTCTAATTAGGATTAAACTTGTAGTGAGCTATCGACAAATTGTGAACCGAGTATAGAATAAACCGTTCTCTTATAAAAATCAATGTTCAAAAAAATTTGTATCAGGTCAACGGTAAAAATTCGATATCTTTTGATTTAAGTGACCTATCGACAAAAATTAAGAAGCATGTAAAAGTTAAAGAGTTTAGCTTTTGTATGCAGTTTTTGTATTTTGCCGTAAATAAACTCAGATTTTATACAGGTGTTAAAATAAATAAACGCGATGCGATTTTTGCCATTTTTTATTATTCTCACGAGATCAATACAATATATCCATTTCATTGATTGGCCACTATGAAGTTTTGGTAACTAGAGCCGAACCTTTAAAAGCTATAGCATGAAATGTTAGTTTTGCGTTTTAACAACAAATTGAGCCATTTGAAATATGCTTAAAAAACGTTGGATATAAACTTTCACACAACATCTAAAACATTTAAAACTTTTTTTTCATTTACATTAGTTTGTTTTTCAAATAAACAAAAGTACTGCAATAATTTACACCCAAAATAGTCTTCTTAAATACATTTTTGGTGACGTGAGATCGTTTCTAATGTAAAACATTAAATTCTGCGTTTTCTATTCATATTTCAAATGCCTCATATTTGTTACCACAACTCAAAATTGAAATTTCATGTCGTAGGTTTTAAAGGTTGACCTCTTAAAATAAAAAGTTTACTACAACTGATCAATGAAAGTGATAAATTTTATTGATCTCGCGAGAAACGTAAAAAATGGCAAAAATCGCGCCACGTGAAAAAAATAATTTATTTAACACCTTTATAAAAACTGAGTTCAGTCTCGGTAAAATACAAAAACTGCGTACAAAAGCTGCACTCTTTGTATTTAAAACGGATCGTGATTTTTGTCGATAGGATATTTGGATCAAAAGATATCGAATTTTTACCGCCCAGCTGATAAAATTTTTATTGAACATTGATTTCGCGCGCGTAACTGACATGCAAACTCGACGGTCGCTTCAAGCGTTGTTTCTAAGAGAAGGTTTATTCTAAACAAAAAATGCTCATAAACATTTTTGTTTAAAATTATCTCAGCTACATTTTTTATTTAAAACATTTTTTTACGATGTACAGATTCTTGGTAAATAAAATTTTTTCACGTTTTTATACCCTGCGAGGTGGGTTTTAGGAAGAAGCCCGGAAATAAAAGTGGTAAACATTTTTGCATCTTTTTTGAAATCCAAAAATTATTATTTTTGGCAAAATTCAGCTTTTTCGTATGATTTTTAGGGGTCAACTCTCTGACGACTTAATTAAGTTCATTTAACTAATTTATTGTGAATTTAATAGTTCTCTATCTTATTTTAAACTCTATAAGTATGCGACTCCAAATAAATATATTTGATACATTTATTAAATACTTAAGGTAGCCAAAAGGGAAGAAATATTAGATGAAATCGAAGAAAAACTTGTGCCTCCGAAATCTTTCTTCGATATATCGGAACCAGCAGTAGAAGACAAATATAAACTACCAGCAGCTATGTGGGAACAAGTAATCGACAAAGCTCCAGCTAGAAAAATAATGGAACTTTTACTTCAAGCTTATCCGTTAGCTGTTGTTAAGAAGTAAGTAGAATTTTGCTTTATTTTCACTGTAATAGTTTAGGCTAAAGCCTAACTTTTTCGCTAATAGCAAAAAACTGTTGTTTTTTTTAGAATGACTCCCTCGTAATGTCGTTCCCATCGTAACCATAACTAAATGGTTAAATATTATATTTATATATATATATATATATATATATATATATATATATATTATATTGTTATGATATGTAAAATCGAGAGAAAAATATTGGTTTGCTTAAAATATTTCAAAGTTCAAAAAAATTAAAATAATTCAGATTAAGTCGAATAATAAACTACAAACATTTCGAAGAATGAAATCCATTATCTTTGGATTACTTTTATTAAACAGAACGTAAGATATGCATAAATTTTTTCTTTGTTAAAATATATTTGAGTGACCTGCATAAGCTTAAGTGAAATCTTAGACAATGGAAGCGGGTTTTCCAAATAAATTTGTGCAGTAATTAGGACAATAGAATAGATTTTAGAAAGATTATGTTTTTTGTTAGTTCATAAGAATTGGTAGAAAAAGATTAGTTTGTAAAATAAGTGTTAGGAAATTTTATAATGTAGGTAAAAATTTGTTTGTGTTATCGAAATGAAGAAATGGGAGATGTATGACGCGTTTTGATTGGATGATATTGAAAAAGGTGGGATGGTTGGTTTGAGAATGAGACTTTAGTTAGTTTTTTGAAGAAAAAAAAATATGGTCAGTGGTTTCCAAGGGTGCAAGGCGAACGGCGTTTGTTCTCGGGTAGTTTCCCAGAGGTAGGAAGCAGTAGCAGTGAAAGTTTGTGAGTTTTCGTTGTAGTTAGTGTATCTGACAGAAGCTGATCCAGTAAAAGATTTTAAGTCATATTTTTCTACTTATATTCTAAGAGTCACTGTTCAGGTCAACGAAAGATTCAGTTTATCGTAAAGAAAAGATATTCCAAGAGTTATATTTCACTCAGGCCAACGAGAGATTCAGTTTATCGAGAGGAGAAGAGGCTAGCCTAATTTGAACGATTCGTGCATTTGAAGGAGATCACTAAGGACGATAAACTTGCAACAATTTGTTGTAAGATTGCTGATTACCTAGGGAGCTGCTAAGAATAGATAGTGTAGGCTACAAGGCACAAGGATTTGGACCACTCATCATCATAGCGACATAGTTTTGTTTTTCTGCAGTTTTTCTTTTATTGATAACATAATTTTTACAATTACTTTAGAAAAGATATAAATATTTTGATTAGGAGATTTAGAAATAATAATTGGGATTTTGAGATTTTAACTAATATTGTTTGTACCATTAATTTTGAAGGTTCACGTACGTAGAACAAAATTTTGAGAATTATTATATGAGATATTGTTTATTGAAAATATTTGAGTGTGAATTTTATTTCATTATTTTTATTTCAATATATAATGTTATATCATATATGTTTTTTATTATTCCGGTATTCTTTGGACCTTACCTTTCACATGTAAAGCATAGATATTGAAGCACGAATATAACCCTGAGATAAGAGAATTAACAAGTGTGATATAATCATAATCATATCTTTAAACTTGGCGCACTAAGTATATATATATAAATTAATTAAATTCATTAAAAGGTTCAAATCATCAAAATCAATTAAATGGTTAAATGGCCCAATATATGGCATAGGAAGACAAATTCGTTAAACTTCCCGTGCTTGAATCGGTATCAATAAAGTGTTATGACTCATTTCGGCCTATTCCAGTCTCATCAGACACTTGAGCTGATAAAAATTCAAACTCGGAAAGTCCAACGAATGTCCCTCAAAACTTCACTACAACAGTAGTTAGCGCACAGAGGCGCCACCTGCTTTGAAGGTCGTGAACGAGAACGATATAACATCGTTTTCTTTGTCCTCTGGACTATGCGAAATGTGTAAAAGAATAAATCTTCTAGCAAAAGGTGCTATCGCTTTGATGAATTAACTACTGTACCCTAACTACTGTTGTAGTTAAGTTTTGGGAGACATTCGTTGGACTTTTCGAGATTGAATTTGTATCAGCCCAATTGTCTGATGAGGCTGGGATAGGCCGAAATGATTCATAACACATAATACCGATTAGAGCACGGGAAGTTTAACGAATTTGTCTTCCTAGGCCATATGGTTGGCCATTTAATTCATTAAAGCGATTTTTAGTACTTTAGTACTTTAGTTTAGTACCGTTTGAGTATTGCTGTTGTAAATATTTTAACATCACAACATCTTTTCAACAAAAATGTAATACACAATAAATTTTGTAGATTTTTACCTAGATATTTAGTGGCTTGACTTACGTACACCTGGTCAATAATACACTGATGATGGAATTTTTAATCAAAAACGTTCTGTGATGTAGCCCGAAAGGGTCTTTCATTTATATACCTTCTACAAAGGATTTTTAAATAAAATTTATGTGATTCGTGGTATACAGCCAACTACAGGAATTTAATTTTTCTTGTGGATTAAAAATATTCTATTAACACCTTTACATAATTTCTTGAAGTCCACTCTGGATAGTTGTCTATTATGATTTACGCATGGTCGTAGAATAATTTCCTCCTCATCTTGTTTTCCTCAGTATTTCATGCATAAAAAGTCACTAAAAAAAAAGAGGAGACACAAATATCAGGTATTGGCAATGTTGAAAGCAAAAGATGTTGAAGCAATATAAAACACATTTAATATCATAGAAATGTGAAATAAACATAAGATGAAAGACGAAAAAGTGGTGCGCAGAGTACGAGATAGTTCACTAGTAGTACACAAAAGTGTAAACTTCTGGTGAAAAGATGGCTTTAATACGGACATGACAAATGTATGAAGTTGAAATAGACAATTTATATGAAATAAAAAGTGAAGAAGAAGAATAATGTTAATAATAACATAACGTTTTTTTTAGATATGTTAATTACTTGGGAGATTACAAAGAACAAATAGCTCAACGAATGCAACGAAGACATGAAAATGTTGTCAGTCAAATGAAGAAGGAATTGAGAAAAGAGGGTGAGAAGATGAAGCTGACGGCAGAGGTAACTATTTATTTTTCTGGCAAAAGTTAATATTAAAACTAAAATAAAGAAATAAATATAAAAGTTACTCACAATCTATTTATTAAATCTTGAAAGACCAATTTTAAACTCTAAACTTGCAGTTCATCGTCAGGTCTCCGGAAATTTTACATAAACGGTAAAAATTACAAATTATATTTATTAGGGTTCGATCAGGCACACTGTTAAATTGGTATGATTATAACCATGGTAAGGTTCTAACCACATAAGTTGTGTAATTTAGAAATCCACGCTTGACTTGAGTACCGTGGGAAGGTCAACTTTAGCTAAAGTATCTCCTCTTTACCACCACAAAGACAATCATAAATATCACTACCTTATCTAGTTCTTCTCAGGGGTAGATCGGCTCATCCCTAAGACAAATGATAGCAAGAACAATCACAAGGGAGATCAAAGCATAAACCGTCATTTTATTTAATAAAGAAATATACTTGTTTTTATGTTACAGCAATTCCTATACAAAGAGGCTGAAGGCCTAAAAAAGTGACTAAACCAAAAAATACAAAGAAGTGGCTGACGGCCTGAATGTTTAAGAAAAATGTCCTAATGAAGCACTTGCATTGCTTTTTTCTATGTAGGGCTGCTGGTTGGTTAATGTTCTTGACAATGTTGTTACAGATCTTCTAGTTAATTAATACCTGGTGGAATAGCATATTTCATTACACTCTTGGTTTTGTATTCCATTGGATGTGGAATGTACTTGGTGATGAATTACTTGTATTCCATGGATCTGAAATCGAGAGTGATCGAATGGATAAATTTCTATTTCATTCTAATTCCAGTTCACATCAATACTCCAAACCGAGCGGATGTTAAATGGTTCTCCGTTATCAACATGCGACCGGTTTTCTCGAATTGAAGAGATAAATGTTAAGTGATTAAAAAGCAATCAATTAGTAATAGACATTAAAAACAATAAACTCATCAAATCATAGCAAAGTTTGGAAAAGAGGATATAACCCGGATATCTGTTTTTCAAGCAAAAACCTCGAAGACCGATGTACCAAAGTAGTATATGGCCCTATACCCAAAAACTCAGCATAGACCAATTGGTATAAATATCTTCCCAATTGTCAGACCACAAGCTATTCCATTCAGAAGGAGACTTAACTTCAAAAAGGCAAACTAGCAAAAGTATGCAGGACATGCTAGATTTTGAACTACTACGCCTTGAACCAAAAGTAGAGAACTACAAAAAATTCGTAGAGGTACTCAAAAATGTGTCTAGAAAAACCATCCCTAGAGGATGTAGACAACAATATGTTCCTGGGATGTCCAGCGAGTTCAAAGAACTAATGAGAACATACGAAACCCTCTATTCCACTGACCTTTTAGCCAAGAAACGGTTGACTGCGGAGCAGTACTACTCCAACAGCTATGTCAAGCCAGACAGGAAAAGTGGATTGAGACCCTGGAAAAAATGGACATGACACATAGTAGCAAAATAGCATGAAACCTTGTAAAAAACTCAGCGGTGATCCAAAAAGAACATAAACCACCTTGCAAGGTTACAGCAAACCAAGTCGCTACTCAACTTCTTACGAATGGAAGAACTACTAACCGATATAAGGACCCAAACATTAGGAGAAGATTGGATTCGGAGACAAACCCCTAGGAACTCCTTTTACACTGAAAGAACTCCACGACGCGACGGTCTGAACGGTTAAGTTAAAAACGGGAAAGCTGCAGGTGTGGATGATATATGCAGTGAACAAATAAAGCATTTAGGCCAAGGAGCAAATAACTGGATCTTGCAATTTTATAACACGTGCTGCAAAATCTGCAAAATTCCAAAATCATGGAGGAAATCTAAAGTAATAGCCTTGTTAAAACCAGGAAAGGATTCAGAAGACCCCAGTAGCTATTGACCTATTTCGCTATTGTGTCACTTTTTTAAACTATACGAGAGACACAACAAGGAGGATTCAGACCTGGCAAATCTTGAACAACGGCACAGGCACTGTGTTTCTCAACTGCTGAATATGCGTGCCCCGTTTGGAGCAGATCTGCCTACACCAAACAAGTTAATTCTGCGCTAAATGAGACATGCAGGATAGTAACGGGGTACATGAAACCCACGCCACTTTCAAATCTATATAGAGCAGCGGGTTTTGCAGAACCCTCAACACGCAGAGGCGCTGCAGAACACATAGAGAAAATTAAACAGATCGCGGATGATCGGCATGCCCTATACAAAGCTCGAACACCACGAAAGCGACTCAAATCTAGGAAAAACTTCCTTGGAACAGTGCAGGATGAACCGCCTGAGTATTTTCCACTTCCTCAGGTTCAATGGACCGGCCAGACCCTAGACTTTAAAACGTGGAAAACCTTGAATAGGATAAGAACGGGGGTTGCTACAGTAAAATCAAACATGGCAAAATGGGGAAAAATAGATCAAGATGATGTGAACTGTGACCGTAGAGAAACACAGAATATGGAACATCTTCTTACATGCAGAAACTGTCCTCATCGATGTACCCTTGAAGATTTGTGGCTCGCCAACAAAGATGGAACTGACGTAGCCCGATACTGGGCCGAAATTTTATGAAAGACATGTCCGGACACGATAAAGTAAAGTAAGTAGTACTCATCAAATTAAATTTCAAAACAACTCAATAATTTACTTATAATGTTTCCAACGGGGAATAGACCAGGATTCGACAACTAAATAGTTAGCCAACAAATGCAAAATATAAACAGCCAACCATTACCAATACAGTATCCATCAAACTAAATGAATTGTTATCCACAAATGCAGATTCCAAACAACACACAGGGTCAATCACAAATCAACAATATACAGGGTTATCCACAAATCTAATCACAAACACCAGGTATGTACAATATGAAAATAACCAACCACCAATTTTTCGACAAATATGATATTTCCGCTCAATCAAGAACAATATATAAATCAACAATGCACCACACAACAGCAATATAAATAACAGAAATAGCCAGCAATACTACTGAATGTCATCAACAAGCGATGACGAACCAGAAAGTGCAAATGTGTCAACAACAAACTCATAACAAGTAGTTAAAACTACACAACGCAGAAAAATCAGAGCAAATGTAGAAACAGAAAAAGAAGATGATACCATTACACTATCGAACAAATATAATACCCTAACGGATACCCAAGAAAATGAAACCAATCAAAATGAAACAGCGCCAAGAAAACCTAAACCACCACCAATATTTGTTTACGGTGTAAGCGACTTCCCAGAAATGAGGAAATAAATTTACAGAAATAACTAAAGCTGAACAATATTATGGCAAATAATACAGTCAAAATAATTTGTAGCGATCCAGAAATAAACAGAAAATTATCAAGATATATGAGATAGAATAACATTATTCATCACACATATCAACCACAGGAAGAAAGGGCATATAGAGTCGTAATTAAATACCTTTACTATTCACATGCAACAGAAGATATCAGAGAAGAACCGACAAAACTGGGTCACAAGGTAAGAAACACCATTAATGCTAAATATACGATTACATTTAGGACATATCTACAGAGGAGAAAAATACAACTTCCTACGACTTATAATGGAAGGAAAGTGGAAGGAAGAAGAGGTCCAGGAAGAAGAAAATGCTCCTGGTTGAAGAACATAAGAGACTGGACAGGCATGGACACACATGCGATACTAAGAACAGCTCAAGATAGAGAGCAATTTGCTGTAGTTATAGCCAACCTTCAGTAATGGAGAAGGCACCTTAAGAAGAAGATACGATTACAAAAGAGCCGGTAAATATGTTCTTTGTTGACCTTGAACCATCAGACAATAACCAAGATATTTGTAAAATTCAGAAATTACAACACTGCAATATACAAATTGAACCACCATAAAAAACAAAAATATCATCCAATGTATGAGATGTCAATTACATGACTATTCAAAAACATGTTTCAATAGACCATATGTCAGTGTAAAATGTGGAGGGCAGCACAGTACAAACAGCTGTAAAAAGAACACGAACACACCAGCTACATGTGCTTTATTTGGAGGAGATCACCCAGCTAACTATAAAGGATGCGAATATTATCCTAATTTAAATAGAAATAAAAATATGGCACAAACTACATATAATTATCACAAAAATATGTCGCAAGCACGTAACATAAACTTTATATCCATTACAGTAAGACCAAATGTAAGCTATGCTAATGCAGCGAGTAATAGACAACCTCCTACTGCTCCTTCAGATAACCAAGATTCTTAGAACACCATTCTTATGCAACCTGCAACCTGCAACAAAACAGCATGGTAATAAACATGCTAAGTAAATTCGTATGCAAATAAAATTCTTTCTACGAATAGCTAAATGGAACGCCAATGGTCTGCTGCATCATAAGGACGAGGTGATAATATTTCTAAAAAAAATGTTTATAGATATATTATTAATAAATTAGACACATTTTGCAGACAAACCGTATTTTTAAATTACCTCATTATATAACGTACCATACTAACCATCCAGAAAAGACAGCCCATGGAGGTACAGCAATCTTGATCAAACAATCAATTAAACATTTCATGATGGAAAAATATATAACAGACTGTATCCAAGCTACAGTAATTAAAGTGTGTTCATTACCTTACGAAATAACAATTGCAGCAGTATATGGCCCTCCAAACCACAATATTAAAAAAACCGATTTCGGATCCTTCTTCAATACTCTAGGTCCAAAATTTATAGCAGCTGGTGACTTTAATAGTAAACACACTTACTGGGGATCAAGATTAATAACAACAAAGGCAAGAGACCTCTATAGCTTAATGCAAGAAAATAAATACTCATATTTATCAACAGGAACACCAACGTACTGACCAACGGACCCCAAAAAAGACTAGACCTCTTACATTTTTGCATCATAAAAAGAATATCTAACGCCTTTATGGACATAGTTTCAAGTTATGATCTTCAGATCATTTACCAATTATTGCAACAATTAGCACCTGCGTTATTAACAAACAACCTACTCCTAACCTAACCTAACCTAACCTACTCCAAAACTGCATGGACCTAGAACAGATTGGAACCTTTACCGAAAAATACTGGATGAAAACATTAAACTAAATGTAAGACTAAGAAGCCCTTCAAAAATAGAAGCAGCTACAAACAACCTTATGACATTATTGCAAAACGCTGCAAAAGAAGCGACACCGAACGATGCAGATAAAAATAAAATCGAGAACAGAATAAATATTCCACTAGAAATTAAAAAGCTCATTGCTGAAAAAAGAAGAGCAAGAGCCAAATGGCAACAAAGTCGGAACCCAGCGGATAAAACGTTTTACAATTGCTTAATCAATAAATTAAAAACACAACTAAAAATTGCAAGAGAAGAGTCAGTCAAAAAATATGTAACATAACTTAATAGATACGACCATTCAATATGGAAACCAATCAAATCATCTTTAAAACCTCAAGCAATATCGCCACCAGTAAGAAAAAGCACAAACACACAGAACCAATGTGTAATAGGCAATAAAGAAAAATCAGAATTATTTGCGAAACATTTAGCAACAGTATTACAACCACACAACAATGAAGATCAAGAAATTATTAATTATTTAAACTCAAAACAACCATCAGTAAATCCAATAAAAATTAACAACACCCAAAGAACTCAAAGAAGAAATCTTTAGACCATATAAGTATCATATAAATATCATATAAATATCATATAAATATCAAAAAGTCACCAGGAATTGATCTAATAACACCAAAAATGCTAAAAGAATTACAAAAAAAGGGTATAGTAACCCTTACATATACATTTAACGCAATATTAAGATGTAATTATTGGCCTAACAACCTAAAAATTGCAGAAATACTTTTATTACCAAAACTAGGAAAGGATCCAGTGAAGTCTCATCCTATCGACCTATCAGTCTGTTATCAACAATCTCCAAATTACTAGAAAAACTTTTAACAAAAAGAATAGATCCAGACTTTACAGGCGCTGATTGGATACCAAATTATCAGTTTGCATTTCGACGAGAACAATCAACTATCCAGCAATGGCACCGAATAACCCATAAAATCAATCCCGCATTAGAAGAAAAGGAATATTGCCCAATGGTATTACTAGATGTACGTTAAGCTTTTCATAAGGTTTGGCATAAAGGACTTCTTCATGAAATTAAACAAATATTACCACCATTCTTTCGAATACTTACATCATACTTGGAAAACCGACAGTTTAGAACAAAAGTAAATGGACAAATATCTAAAATGCATTCCATTAAGGCGGAAATTCCACAGGGCGGCGTCCTGGGACCTTTATTATTATATATATATATATATATATATATATATATATATATATATATATATATATATATATATATATATATTATATACGTCTGATCTTTGATACCAACTTTACATAACGTAACAATTGGCACATTTTTAATAACACACTAGCATTTACAAGTCAGAAACACATTAACATAGCTACACAACAACTCCAAAACTATTTGTATGAGCTTGAAAACTGGCTGAAATAATAAAAAAATAAAAATAAATGAAAACAAGTTAACCCACGTAACTTTCACTTTACGACGAGAAACACCACTATCAATATATATCAACAATGAGAAAATACCCAGGACTAAAACAACCAAATACCTAGGGCTATACCTGGACCAAACCCTGTGTTGGAAAGAACACATCACCAAAAAAAGAAAACAAATGCAACTAAGACAAAAAGAAATTAATTGGTTAATTGGAAAAAAGCTGTTAATAAATAATAAAATTATAATTTATAAAACAGTTATCAAACCAATATGGACATATGGCATAGAGCTGTGGGGCTGTAGTAGTAAATCTATAGTATCTATCTATAGTAAATGATATTATGGAAAGATGTCAATCAAAAACCTTAAGAGCAATTGTTGATGCACCCTGGTACGTAACCAACCAAAGAATCTATGAGGATCTCAATACATCAACAGTAAAAGAAGTATACCAGCAAAAAAAATTAAAATACATTCAAGAAGTGAACACACACTCTAATTCATTAATTTCCCCAATACCTCAACATCGAGTTATCAGAAGACTAAAGCGACGTTGGCCAACAGACCAGTAACATGGACCCGTGATTCTCTCACTGGAGGGGACCACATTACCCCAGAACCAAGGGACAGGCCCTAAACTCATCACATTAACTTATAGAATACATTGTTTTTTTCTGATCGTTAATTTATTAGTTATAATAAAAAAACAAATTTAATTCCATGTAAAACAAAAAGCATATGTAGATCTTAAAGATCTTACTAGAGTGATGCAACAAAAAAGACCTGTTCCTTTCGAAACGAATTATTAAAACATTGTTAGTTCCAAGCAGTATAGATACAAAATAATTAAGATCGGATATATGCATAATGAATCTTAAGATATCAAGAGTATTGAAAAGTTAGTAGACAAAACAGAAATTAAAAAAAAAGTTTACTTAAAAATCCTTTATAAAAGGTATATAATTAATTATATACCTTTTATAAAGGATTTTTAAATAAATTTTTTGTGATACATGGTATACAGCTAGCTACTGGAACTTAGTTTCCTTGTGGAGAAATTAAAAGGTTGAAAGATTAAAATAAGTTAAGCGCCAATTATTTTGGTATTCAGAATAAAAACAAACAAACAAAAATAAAGAGTCTTTGTATTAATATATCGAGTGATAATATATAAAGTGATCGAAAATTAGAGAAACGTAAAATAAGGAAGCTTGTACGTTATAAAGAAAGTAATATCATAGTTTGAAAGAGTATATCAATTGTACTTACATGCCGATACAAGTATTGTAGTTAGATAGGTACATATTACATTTATGTTAGGCTATTGTCTAAGGGTCATTAGCTTTATTGCACATTGAAAATTATGGAACGTTAGGAAAAAACCGAAATAGGAAAAGCTATTGATATGATTGTTTGTCAAACTGTAAGTGATGTTATAATATGTATTAAAAGGTATTTTATTTATTGTAAAATTATACTTTAAAAATGCGTGTTATTTATTTATTGGAAAATTTTTTATTCAATTTAAGTACGTAATGTAATATAGCAAACTAAGTAGAACTATTCCGGATTTATGTGTTGTCCAAGGTGGTTTTGTATGAAAAATTATTAAGTGAAGCCACCAATTTTAATCTTTGGTGGTAAATAACAAAAAACTACCTCACAATTTTGTAATTTTTTGCATTTAAGTGAACTTTCCGAGACCTCACGATGAATAGCACAGTTTAGTTATAAAGTTCAAGGTACAATAAATTAATTGTAAGTCTTATATTTATTCCTTTAACCTTGTTGAAAAGGACTCACATGTGCAACCGACTCAATTTTAATATTAAAAAGTTATGTTTTTTAAGGAGGTATAATAGTAGATTATTATTTATATAGATGAAATAATACAAAAAACTGCTTGTCATAAAACTGTCATAAAAATTTCTTCTGAATTATTTCGATTTATTTTATTTAAATTAATGATAATTTTGTTTATGTGTTGGTACTTTAGGAAGCTGAGAGAGCTTGTGATAACGCCATGGCAGTATTAGCGGCAGTTAAAGAACAATATTTAAGGAAATTAACTGAAGAAAGGAGACAAGAGAAAGAAGGAAAGGAAGATTTACCAGAACATTCTCAGTTATACGAGAAAATGAAAGAGGCTATGTATGACACCCAAAAGAAAGTTGAGGTAAAGTATATTTGGCTACATGTATTAAATATATCAACTATCGGTCTATCGCTCATTGGATACAGCCTTCCTCTTATTTGTTCTATCCCTATATCATGATGATTTTGCGACAAACGTGTTTTTCTAAATTATCTATTTATCTCCTTTGGGGTCTTCCTCTTTCCGTTTGTGGTTATATGGTATCTAGTGTACAAGTACCTTCTCGCGTTTCTGCTTTAGGGTATGTTTAGCCAATTTTTTCTGTCTATTAGTTAAATATTTGACTCTCCATATCTCCATTAATCTTTCTGTTTTTGCTACCTTTTCCATGATTTCCTTTGTAAATATGCAATTTTGATCGCCATGTTTGAGGACAGGAAACCTACATTAATATTTCTTTAGGTATTGGGAATATTTTTGTTTTGTGATATGTAGAACAATTTTCCGAATGATGCACCATATTTATTTTTTTTTATTTCTTAGGACTGAATTTATTTAATTTAACTTATGGTGATATGTCCCAAATATGTATATTTTTACTTTTTATATGCTTGTTTACACCGCTGTAATTATTAATTCTTCCTGTTGGTTGGTCACTGTTTTTGTTTTATTATATTATTCACGTCTTAGTCGATTATGTTTATGTTCATCCAGTAGTTGTCACTGGTAGAACACGCAAAACTGTAACGCATTTTGTTAATATTTATTATATTTATGTATATATATATATATATATATATATATATATATATATATATATATAATATATATATAAGTGTAATATCATACCCTTATTCATGTGAAGAGATAGCAGTTTGAATTCGTCTAAAAAGAGTTTATTATCGTTAAAATTCTACAATATAAATTATTAACAATAATATCATAACTAATATAACTTAACAAATATACAAACCTAAAAAGAGAATCAAGAACAATGCTATTTCTTACGCCATTAAGTAATTTGACAATACAATTTAAAATATGTCAATGTCAATAAAACTTAAACAGTCATACAACCTAAAACTTTAAATAACTAAAAATAACTAAACCCTGCTGTTTCACTTAAAATAAACATAGGTTTACTTTTACATCCCCCTACCAAAAAGGTATGATAAACCATCTAAGTATATGGTTTATCACAAGGCATCAATTTTGAAATATGGAAATAATTCATATCATTCTTTTTGTATCCAATATCTACTTCATATAATGTATTTGAAATTTGTTTTTTTATTTGAAATGGACCTACTCTAACTTCGTCAAGTTTTTTTCTATTTAGTTTTGATTTATTTTCTACATATGCCCAATCTGCCTCTTTGAATTCATAGGATTTTCTATTTTTGTCATACAGTTTTTTATTATATTCATGATGTCGTACCGAATTTTTATAGGCTATTTCTTTATCTTTTGATACATTTGTTGTCTCACACAGTTCCTCGGGAACAATCGGATCTGCTTTTCCAAAAAGCAAATATTCTGGGCTATATCCGGTTACAGAATGATCTGTTTTATTGTATTCCTCTATACATTCTTCAGCTATTTTTGTCCATGCTCGAATTCTAGTTTCATTTTGTTTGCATCTTATTCTGTTAACTAATGTCTGATTAAGTCTTTCATTTAATCCATTCGAGAATGGACAGTCTACTGCTGTAAAAATTAATTGAATATTTAAATGTTTCATATGATTTCTAAATATTTTGGAATTAATTCCTGGATACTGATCTGTTAATAATGTTTTTATGGGGTGTTTATCTTGAATTTTGGCGATTAATTTTATGAAATCATCTGTGGTCTGATTTTTAGAAGTAACTGCAAACGCATATCTGGTGAAGGGATCTACAAGTAAGTGGAGGTATTTTTTTGTCGAACGATTGCCACCAAATCCTCCTATTGTATCTAAGGACATTATCTGAAAAGGTTCTTTTGCTGGACCCAATTGTGACAAAAGACCATATTTTGGACCGATTCTTGTTTTATTTTTACAGCAGATCTCGCATTTTTTACAGATATCCTTTGCTAGTGAATCTATATTCTTAATGTAGTAAAAGTTTCTAATTTTGTTTGTTACTTTACCAGCACAAATATGACCATAAAATTTGTGAACTTTTGTTATTAACTCTTTTTCGAAATCTTTGGATAAAATTATTTTTTTTTATTCTTCCTTAATTTATAAAATATATCTTGGTTCAAAATTGTTCCTCTCATTGTATCTATAACTTGTCGATTATTATTTTGGTCTTGTTTTATCTCAGTTAATGTGACTAGGTTTACTGTTCTTATAAATGTTTCTGCATTTTTAATATTTTCCAAAACTGGGTTTCTAGAAAGGCAGTCTGCTTCTACATTTTCTTTTCCAGGTTCATATTTAATGTCGAAGTCAAATTGTGAAAGAAAATGTGTCATATCTCCTAATTCTTCATCTGGTCTTGTACGAAGTTCTCTTCCCTCAAGTGGTTTATGATCAGTAATAACGAGAAATTTTTTTCCCATTAGCCAGTATTGCCAAAATTTTATTGCTTCTTTAATTGCCAGGCATTCTAAAAAAATAGCCTTTTTATTTTTTTGATATTTGTTCAATTTTTTTGAAAAGTATGCTACTGGTTTCATTTCTCCATCTCTTTGTTTTTGTTTCAGAACCGCACCAATTCCTAGAACACTAGCATCTGTATATATAGTTGTAGGAGCATTTGGGTTAAAAATGGCTAGTATAGGTTCAGAACAGAGGATATTCTTTGCCCTATCAAAAGCTGTTTGGCAGCTTAAAGACCAGTGGAATTTGATATCTTTTCTAAGTAAATTATGTAGTGCCTCTAATAACCTAGCCGAATCTTTTATATATTTGTGGTAAAAATTTACTTTTCCCAAAAACTGTCGTACTTTTTTTCTCGTGTCTGGTGCTGGAAAATCTCTGATCGATATTAAATTATCATGTAACGGACGAACTGAATTGTTTCCCACAATGTGTCCCAAATATTTAACCTCTTCTCTTGCAAAATTACATTTTAGAAGTTTGAGTCTAAATCCCTCTTCAATAATTGCTTTCATAAGTCTTTCTATATGGTCTAAGTGTTCTTCAAATGATAATGAGAATATTAAAATGTCATCTATGTAGTTTATACAAAATGAATTTAAATTATGCTTCCTGATGATATTACTTAAAATTCTTTGAAATATTGCGGGAGATGTTTTAAGCCCGAAAGGTAAGCATTTCCATTGCCAATGACCACTTTGGGTAACGAAGGCTGTCTTGTATTTATCTTTTATCCGAACTGGAATACACCAAAAAGCAGAATTTATATCTAAAGTAGTAAAGAACCTAGCATTCCTTGTTTTGGTCAAAATCTCGTCAATTCAAAGGAAAAGGTTGGAGTTCAGGAATAATTAATTTGTTTAACTCACGAAAGTCAATGCACAATCTTGTTTTAGATCCTTCATCTTTTTTAAAAGCCAATGTAACAGGTGCTGCAAAAGGTGAAGATGATTCTTTTATTAAATTTGCTTTTAATAATTGTCCTATTTGAAATTCTATCTCTTTTTGGTCTTCTATCGAGCATCTATAGGGCCTTTTTGCAACAAATTTATGTTCTAAAAGTTTAATTTGAGCTTCATTATTTTGAACCTGCCCAATGTCAAATTTATGTTTTGCAAAAATATTGTCATATTTATTTAGTAATATTTCTATTTTATTTTTCTGATATGGCAATAAATGCTCTAATTTTGCTTCAAACAGTTCTGTGGGAATTCCCTCATTAAAGTTTATGGAGTATTCTGTAATATTAATATTATAATTAAATTTTTCGATTTTTTCTTCAATTCTTCCGTATAATCTTTGATAAATTTCTAAATCAAAATCTTGTTTCATTTGAAAATTTAAAATGGAATCTAATCCGAGTAGAATATCATACTCAAAATATTCATCATTAATTACAAAAAGATTAATATTTTTCTCAATTTTATTAATTTTCAGTTTTGCAATTAGTTTTCCTGTAAAATTAGTTCTGCCATTTATCGTTTTAAACATATTCCTATCTTCTTGAATATCTAATCCTAACTTTCTTGCCACCTTCGAATTCAGAAGAGTAACATTTGAGCCTGGGTCATAAACTCCACATAATTCTTTATTATTTAGGAATACTTTTAATTTGATCAATGGCAGCAAATCTAGTTTTTTTGGTCAGTTACTGTTTCATTTAACGTCTCCTGTATAGCAATATTATTAATATATTTAATATCATTTGATTTGTTTTCTTTTGTTACCTTTTTATCTTTTTGCTTTAAACGGCATATTGCCTCTGGATGAAACCTCCCAGGGAATCCTTTTTTATCACAATATTGACAAGTAGTTTTCTGTTCTTCTGGTATTATAGTAGTTTTTTGATAAAAATTTGGTTTTGTCTCCAATTTATTCTTCTTTTTTATAACTAAACTTTCCAATTTTCGTAATTCACCTACCAATTTTTCCATTGTTGTAACGTCAGCTCTATTAATATTATCTTGTATATAAATTGGCAAATTTGTTACAATTAAATCAATTAGTATATCAATGGGAAATCATTCTTAATATTTAGCAATAAATTTTCTTTACGAAACGCATAATCAACAATACTACCACCTATATACCTAAAAGAATAAGCTTGCCTATGATTATGCCAACCTGTTTCACAAAAACTATCTAAAAAATTAATTTTCCATACCTCAAAACTGTTATCTAAGCCTAATGTTATTATTTTTGATTCAAACCATTCTTTTGCTATTCCATCAAGAAACAAACGTAGAATCAAAATCTTGTCTTCATCAGCAACCACCTCACATCGCAAACATTCTGATTCGAAGGTCTTGAGCCATGAATTCGTTGGAACATTATTTCCATCAAAATTTCTAAGTACAAAATCATCTTTTATTTTTTTTTAATTTTTCTTTTCAACTTTAGGTAAATTTGTGTCATTAAATTTCTGAAGCAACTCAGCAAATGATGGAAATTGTTCAGTTGTTTCTATCTTCTCATACACTGGTAATAAGGT